GATAGATTGACCTATACGTTTATTTGTGTTGCATATGTTCATGGGTTTTCTCATGAGACTTTGTTCTGACGTATTCTCATTTTGGCATCTCTTGCAACACATGAAACCTGTGGCATGGTTCTGCTAAGGATGCCATCCTCATTCAAAGTCTGCCAGGCACAAAGTGACCTTCAGCATGATATTGACCACCGACAGTGCAGAGTGTCCTGAAGTCAATTAGGCTAGCCTTCCAGGCTTTCTGCTAACAGACTCATCTCCAGTGTAAAGTGATGGATTTAGACTAACAAAATATTGGATTGACCTTCTTTTGTCTGTGCCATGTCTCCTCCAGGGAACACTTCAAGATCATCTGTAGTTCCTTGGTGAAGAACTACATTGTGTGGAGTTTCAATTTTGTTTTACATAGTTGCCTTAAAGCTATAATATTGTGTATTGTTACTGTGACAGGAGAACTAATATCAACCTACCATAATTTCCTGTAAGTTTCCACTTCTGAGAGACTGTTCTACTTGTCTAAAGATAAGGATTTCTTTGATTGTTATCACTAACAGGTTGAGATTTAGTTAAGATTTTTCTGACTATTAAGCAAATAATAAACAACAGTTATCGGGGGATCCAATCAGTCACATTGTACTCCAGCCTCAGGACACCATGACTTGGACTTGTGGATTTATATGCCGAATGAAACAGAATTTGTTTCACAAATCTTGTATAAAATGATGCTGTGGCTATTCATTTGCAAACATTGTAATTGTGAGGTGATAAATTACAGAATTTCATGTTTTGTTTTCCAAATATGCTGCTTGTCTACTGACATTAAATGGCAAAAGGTTCAGGATAGCCATTTGCAGGAAATTAGGTCCTGTCTGTGTCCAAATCTCCATCTAATGCCCAGTAAGCATCTTGCACTGGAGAAGGTGACATGTTGATGTCAGTGTAAATAACACAAAGGTTACGTGAGAAGGGCTGAAGGCGTTGTCAGTGAAGGAAGCAAGTCAAGCAGACTCATAACACATTGATGACGCAAGTACAGATTACAAGTCGATAAGATGTCACTTGCACGCATTGATGGAATAATCTGTCTTTAAATAAAGATTTTACAGGGAAGGGATGGGAACACATGTAAAATATAACCTTAAATAATAATTGCACAAATTGTTGACTCTCTACTAAATTTTAATTCGCATGAAAGTGCTTGACACAGACTTCGATAAATTTATCATTACCAGATGAATTATGCATCTTGTATCCCTAACACCACATCATGTACAGTAAATGAAGTATACTATTCACAATTTGCTGAGGATCAAATCATGGATTCAACAGAAAACTATTATGTGGGGTCAAATTTGGTGTAAATACCTAAGCCTATTGTAAGCATGGATCCTATGTTTCAGTATGTCATTACACCTTGTGGATCCCATACCTACTATTGGGGGTTACGGCCTAATCCGTCGAATTTTGAACAGCCAGCAGTGCTGATCCGTCGAATCATGCTTGAGTGGTTCTGTGCTAATCGGTCGAATTTCAGACTGTGTTAACACACTGGGAGAGTCTAAGTTCATTAATTAAGGGGTCGGCTTGTATTGGGCTAAAAACCCTGACCCTGAAGCATCGCTCAGCCCGTTCTGTAGAAACACAGATGAAGACGAGTTCCATGTCCTCCTTGTAGGTCTTAGGCATGAGGAGAGCAGACAAAAGTATCTACCAGAATATTATACAAAGCACCTATTTTTTTTGTTAAGTTTGTAGGACCACTAGCCAACCAAAATGAAAAACTTACCTTGTGTTAAGCAATTTTTATAACAAAGATATTTGAGATTAGAGAGACTCCTAATTTTAATCTCTACCGTGAGACTTTGTATACCTTACATTACTATACTCCCAGGTTTATGCACCAAGTCTAAATTACTACTCAAGAAGTTTGAACATCACGAACTATATATTTCTCCTTATGAATGCATTTTATTTAATGCATCAATTTCAATTTTGTACAAAAGTAAAAAAAATATGGAGAGTCCAAACATATTTAATGCATCAATTTCTCATTGTATCATATGAGTAGGCAAAGATATATACTGTAGAAAAGTACAAAAGTATAGAGAGTCAAACAATCCAACACCCCTTGCGTCTTTTTTTTGGTATGATCCAATGTTTTGATAACTAATTCATAGCTAAGATCACAGTGCCGATCCGTCAAATGCATTTTACTGCTCTGAAGTCAGAAATTGGATGGATCGGTACGCTACCCTACTGGGAGGTGTTGTTTATTTGCCATTGACTCGTTCCATGATTTGCAAAATGGTTGATTGGTGTCATGAAAACCATTTTTATGGTTACTCATGTATCAAGTGCATAAGTTTAACCTAAAGTGACTATTTGTCGAATGAGGGGTTACCATATTATTATTTATCCAGTTTTAAATGGATACATAAATCTATGTCTAAGTAAAGTTGAGAATTTTTGTGATCCTTAGCAAAGTGTGAATAGTATATGACAGTTGTGTGTAGTGTGTGTAGACCATTTGGGGTAATTTATATGGATGCTATTTTTATGATCCATTTGGTGTTAAGATTAATCACTTCTGATAATACTGTACATCCAGAGGGGATTTGAGGTACCTTTGGTCACCAGCTACCTGTGATGAGGTGGTCCTACTCACAGACTTTGCATGTCACTGTAGCCTGATGGTGTGGGTATGATATCAATCACAGGACAGTCCGATCCAGACCTGATAATTTACACACCAACATCATATAGCTGGCACATTGTTAAACGTGGTGCAACAATCAAGCAAGCAAACAAATTGGGATAATTAGGTAATCAATCCGTGTTGCCTTAGTGTTTGTACATACATAAAGCATATCACAGATTATATGGAAGTCAGCCTCAGATGATCAGATGAATGTTCCTTGCATTTCTCCTTGTTATTTATCTGGAAATGTAGTCGTATTGTATTTGTTACATAATTGATTGATATAAGTGTTCTTGTGGTGCTATTGAGATGTAAATGATTCTCCTTGATCCTGGTGGGGATCTCATTAACAGTGTTGGGTTGTGTTTTGTATAAGATAGGGAGGCAGTATGAAATGAATATTCTGGGATGATACTGCATGGTACTGAAGGATTCAGTGAAAATATTTTCACTGATCACCATGTTAAGTGCATCAGCTCAATATCACATTCTTAATTCTGCAGATAGATCACTGTGATGAAGCTAAATTATGTTTCATCATATGTTTTAAGTTTGTAATCAAAAGGTTAAATAGACATTTTCTAATAGCCACAATCATCTTTGAGCAGGAGCTGAAAGCATATGGACATAACTTCTTCAAATCACACCTGAGTACCCTTCAGTCAAATAGCTCTCAGAAAACTGCTGTCATAGCACAATTTATGTTGTGTAACTGTATATTTATGCATATGCTCTTCTGTGCTGTCAGTGACAGGTATTGATCACCCTCCTAGTGGCGTTACAGGCTGGCTTGAGTGGGAGTACCATACAGTAAGATGTATTGGGTGGTCAGGTTCAGTGTCTGGGTCTTCATCACGTGGTGGTCTTCATCACGTGGGTTACAGGCTGGCTTGAGTGGGAGTACCATACAGTAAGATGTATTGGGTGGTCAGGTTCAGTGTCTGGGTCTTCATCATGTGGTGGGCATTACTTCGAAGGTTAATCAATTGTTTTCTGGTCCAGATCATTTACAGGTTGTTGTGATGTTTCTGGAATTTTCTGTCCTGGCATTAACTAAAAACACATTATTTGTAACCACCATTGACCAAGTTTTGGAATAAAAACATGAGTCTCATATCCATGAATGTGAGGGCTATATACTTCAGATTCTGAATAGTAGTGTCATGATATATTATTACCTCATGTTGTTTGAGAATGGTGATACTATTCTGGAGAGTCAACGTTTTTTACTTGCACATTTTCTATCTTTGGTTATGAAATGATGATATGGATTATGTGAAATCATTTGTCATGTTTTTAGTTGTCATGTATATGGTGATTGAATGTTTGGTAATATGAAACAGAAAATGAGATCTTTTTTGTTTGAGTTGCTCCATCCAAGGTATAAGACATTGTCAGCTATTTCCTTTCAGACATTTTGCTTCCATGATGAGCCACTTTGTACCATTATTTTCCACGTAAGACACTGAAAGAAGTCAAAATATTTCACTCTTGCACCTATGTCACAGGACCAGTGAGTGAATAATAATTAGTGGTCCTGTCTGTACTGAACAGGTCCAAAATAGTATTTGTAGATTTACTTAACTATCAATACAAAATTCACTGGCCACCAAGACCACTGCAACCTTATGATTTAGTGGTCCTGATGATTTTTTACTAGCCAGGGACCACAGGACCAAAGTAAATTTTGCACACTGTACTACAAGACACATGATTTTTGTCGTTGGTCTAAGGGAATGATTTACAAATGAGAACAGATTCATTTCTGCCATGAACTGTTGAGTTCGCTGCCCTGCATGTAAGTGGTAAGGTTTTTACACAAAGTTGGCACAAGCTACCTGTGGTGCTGAAAATTGGAAAACTGCCGGAAGTATTGGTGTTTACTTGTTAGTTTATATAAAACAATACATTCTTAAAATCTCTGAAGCATTTATATTTATCAGTTAGATTATATAAAAATACATTCCCCAAACCATGTATCTTACTGAACCCTGAAACTACTCAACAATTGTTTGGTAATAAATATCACTGAACCGACTGTTTCTTGATGTCACAGTAGGCATTGTTGCAGCTATATTACGCTTTCCTGTATGTGGAGAAGATGCAGGTTACTATTGATCGTCATCACGAAACAACTGACAGGATAGAGTGCTAGTCGATTGGTCGATGTATGTCATCTTATCCCAGCTGCATGGACGGATTGTCCAGACTGACTTAGTTTCAGACTACTGTCCAAATACTGCCAAATCTAGTCCAGGTTTTATAGCCATTTAATTGTTTTTAACATACTTGTTTTGTATTGCAGGACACAGCAGGTCAGGAGAGATATAGAACAATAACAACCGCTTATTACCGTGGTGCTATGGGATTTATACTCATGTATGATGTCACCAATGAAGAGTCCTTTAATGCAGTACAAGATTGGTGAGTACTCAGTACTGATGACATAAATGTCATGACACTTATGTAGTTTGTGACAAAACATTTTGGCCTTAGAGTCTGACATTATTATCTGAAGATTTAATGCAAATAAGGGTAATTATCAGCAGAGCTTACTTCAGATGTGTTGAGCATTTTTAAGATGCAGAAGTTTTATGATAATATGTTGATACAGACTATAAGGCAGGTGGTGATCTTGCGGCTGTGTTGTATCAGACTATATAATTGCCTTCCCAGCGTCCGAAATTGATCTATGTGGTGCAATATCATACATTGTCAGACCAGTACTCAGATTCCCAATGGTCATTGGGGGACACCGTTACAACAGCTCTCTACTTCCGAGATATTACCCTGAGGATTGAACAATTAAAAAAATGAAATGAATCTTCTTTTGATTATCAACGAAAATATGGTGACATTGTATCATCATCGTGTTGCTGCATTGGAAATATTTATGCAAAGCAAAATGTCCCCGAAGGAAGAATTTCAGTACAGTCTACTGAACCCTCATGTTTGTATTTAAACAGTCTTTGTATGGTCAGTAGAACTACAACTGGCAGTGTGTGTGATTTGCATATTATCAGAGAGCTGTTTTCGCTGTTGAATAAACAATCTTGAACTAGAATTATTGTGGTAAGTTGTAAACCCACATGCTTCAAAGCACATGTATCACCATTTGCAGTATAGTATGGCTGACTGTTCATCAGCCTTCTGTCATAGGGAACATCTGTGTCTAGCAACAGATCAGGATGAATACAAACTGAAAACCTTGTATAGCTTCCATTATCTGAAAATAGAGATAGAGACCATTGCCTTAATTAAAATCATATCAGTAATAAAGTATTTCCATGTCTGAATATTGTGCTCATTCTTGCCAGAACAGCAATCAATTTCTATATAGTATTTTACATTTTGATCGTGTTGGTATACTGGAGTTATCATAAGTAATGTAAGCTTGATGTTTAAAGCTATGAGGCAAGATGTGGATTCTGAGAATTGGTGTATTTTTAATATATTGGTCACATATTGATAAAATGATCATCTGCCTGGAAGTAAGTTTACCATTGTGAATACAATAGATGTAAGAACCAGGAGTCTGTGATATGTGTTGTGAATACATGTGAAGGTAGTGTGAGTCTCAAGTAAAACATGACCACGTGACACTGCTGCTGGTCTTTTATTCTGATGTCGTTTGTAGAATATCTGTATTGATGTCATAATACATGCTACTCTTTCATCATATATTCTTCTAGTTATATGATTCATTTGATCTTGTAGATTTTTGTTTTGTTTTATTGTGTTTCCGTCGTATTCTTGTCAGCTGAAGAATGTTTTTCATATAATTATATCAAAAGGGCAATTTCATTTTTCCTTTTGGTTTGGGATGTCTGAGCTGAAAAGTGTGGTCACAAATGTAAGTGTGAATGGTAATCTGATATTCTATCATGACACTGGAAATATTAGAATGTGATTGATTGGTTAGGGGTTTCAGAACACTATGATTACTTTGGAATGAAACAGCTGATTACACAGCTGTGTACATTTTGTGAAGGAAACAGAATGGAAATAAACCAGCAGAGTAAACGTTAGATGTTTGGGTCAACAGAAAGCTTGAAAATTGAAACTTCTTTATCGCAAACTATGCTGTCATGCCTTTAGGAATTTAAAGATTATGCCCGTAACTGTTTGGAAGAGGTTTTGCTTGTTCCAGACTCGATTAGTTTGATTTAGGTTGAATGTTTCTGAAACAATGCACAAATACACACATTCACCACACCACACAATACACCACACCATACCCCACACCATACCACAATACACCACACACCACACCACACCACACCAGAGTAAACTGGTAAACTGGTGTCGAAGTTGACCTTTGAATTCCAGCAAATCACTGCTTGTGGAAAGATTTTGATATTAATGTATAACCTGAATAAATGATCAGCAAGTGATCAACACAAACAATTTGAATGATGAGGGTTATTGTGAGGCGTGAATGATATAGATACTTCTTCAGCTGACTCTATACTTCCACTATGTTTAGTTCTCCTTTCTGTTTCCTGCATGCCCGGTCTGTCTCAATTCACAGGTGCACACAAATCAAGACACACGCATGGAGTAATGCTTGTGTATTACTAGTAGGTAACAAATGTGACGCTGAGGAGTCCCGTGTTGTCGATAGTAAGGAAGGGGAGGACTTATCCAAAGACCTAGGTAGGATTCCATTCCTATCGCCTGGCTGCTGGGTTTTGGTTTGTGTTCTGTTTTTGTTATGTTTGCTTTCCTTTGTTTCATTGGTATCTTTATGTGACATTTGGAAGTGCAGCAATGTCATGTTGAGATATAGCCAGACCCTGAAGCATCATCTCTGTAACTCAAAGGTCAAGGGCATTGATCACATTCTGAACCAATCATATTGTCTACTCTGAATCCACTTGTCCTAGAGGTTGTTAAGCTAATGCTCATCTGGAGTACATTAGAAAACACCCATTCCAAGCCAGGAGGCAAAGTTGATCAGTGAACCTGTGAAAGACATCGGAAATGTAAATGTCATGTCATTGTGGTTAATCGTGTCTGTTGGCTACATGGAAAGATTGCTAGTTCCTAAGTGCCCAAAGAATTTGATCGTACATGAGATGTTGCTTCCTCCTTGCTTTGTGGATCTTCTGGGTGAGGTAGGTACCGTCCTGGTGCCTCAATGTAGACACTGCTCACTGTGTCCGCACGGCATCATAACTCAGTATCTCCCCCGTTTTCCAGGTGTACTCAAATCAAGATGTACTCTTGGGATAACAGTCAGGTAATTTTAGTTGGTAACAAATGTGACCAAGAGGACCAGCGTGTTGTCTCCGAGGAGAGAGGCCGTCAGCTAGCAGATAACCTAGGTATGTTTTAACACAGACACATTTCTTGCTTTCTTCCAGGTGCACCCAGATCAAGACATATTCCTGGGACAATGCTCAGGTTGTTTTAGTTGGCAACAAGTGTGACTTGGAGGATGAACGGGTGGTTTCAACTGAGAGGGGAAAACAGCTAGCAGACCAATTAGGTACCTCAGAGCATGACTTGTGCATATTGTAGCGTTTCATCACTCCATGTTACAGTCAGCCATGCCTAAAGGCATGACACTTTGTTTTGTGGAGTACTTCGTCTAGCAAGATTGCACTGTGTCAATATTGTAGTAATTCTGTGGAATTATACGTTCCATATTCAGTCTAAGCTGTGTGTGTGTGTGTTTTAGTCTAGATTCATCATATAGTGTTTGTTCTCAGTCACACCAAACAAGCATGTCCTTGTGTTTGTCTCCTGCTATGCACACAGTGTAACATATACATTGCTAAGATACTTGACATTTGTACCCAATGTTTGGATTGTTCATTGGGATGAAGATTGGATGGTCATAATGTCTTCCCCACCTGATTGTTTGATATTGTAGCCACTGGGAAGTGAGTGAGTGAATGAACACTATTAATTGCCACATTTTGTGATCTGCTATGATCATGGCAGCCTGACAATAGTGAGTCAGGACCAGAGATGTTATTTACAGGCCATTGAAAATATTGTTGACTGTGGCATGCAACATTTCTTAAAATAATTGACACCATGCAAGCACTGCTTGTATTACACTGCATATTAAACACTAAACAAGGCCAGTACTTCCTCTTGGGATACATGGGACCCAATGCCAAGGTACTGAATGTTGTCTGTCATCACATCATAAACATCTCTCGACAGATGCCCTCTTCTACATCAACAGAACATAATCAGTTTTGTGGATAAAATCATAAGCCATACATTTGATGGAAACCGATCAATCCAGAATGAAGTTTTGAAATTGTCTTGAGAATGCAGTTACACAAAGCATTAAAAAAATGACACTCAAAAAATGGTCAGCCATTCACTCTAATAGTTATTTGTTAATCTCACAACTTTACAAATTATCAGTCCTTTGGATATGCTGAAAAAGGCCCTGTGAATCTTGCCCAAACTTACTTTATAATGTGTTAGTGTCACAATCTGACATCCAGTGAATGATGGGTACAATGTGTGAAGCCCATTTCTGGTGTCCCCTTACCATGATGTTGCTGGAATATTTATGAAAGTGGCGTAAAACCAAAACTCAGTCAGTCAGTCCGGTGAATGAATGCATTTAGAGACATGCCTGCATCTTTTTCTATTGCCCTTGTAGTTGCTTCATAACTATATTAGAACAAATCTAAATTCTTCACTAAATGGCATTATGTTTATGTTGTTTCTGTATATTTGTTTTAAGTCGAGCAGGTTTTCCCCCAGAGAGGCTTGTGCATCAATTTTTTCCAGTTTTGTTCCTATTGTATCATCTTGAAATAACCTAAGTGTTAAAGGAACAGATCAAAAGTGGGGTTGGTTTTTTTACCCATTTCCTTGTCCCCCAAAATTGTCCCATAAATGACATTTATCTTAGGCAGGCATCGGTTTCCATCAGTGTCCATATCACAGCATTTATCAAAGGCAGGCATTATTGAAGGATTTACAGCATATTGCATCCTGTGTAGCCCTTCATGCAAAGGACCTGCATTGTTAGTAAAACTGTGTCAATAGTCATTTGTTTGACTTTTTTCAATGGAGAGTAATGGCAAATGGCAGTTGTTGGCTCGTGAGAGTTTACCCAACTCTGTTTCAAGCATCAATTATGAACATTTTCTCATTCTGTTTCCTGATCCGCATTTCCAAAGCTGGTGGTATGCAGTCGGTATGTAGATTAGTAACCAAGGGCCCTTCTCTTCATGAACTATGTATTTGCTAGGATGTAATTAGCTCTGTGTGTGTGGATATATACGTGGGATGATATGTGATATGTTCCCGACACTCAAGCTAACAGTGGATAACAGACAAGGCTAAAGTACTCAGGGCATAGCACAGTCAGACCTTAGCCTCTTCCTTGTCTCTCCCTGTCTCTAGATACAAGGCTACAAGATAACTGTTGTTTTTTTCCCACAAGGAGTGATTTATAGGAAAGGATCTTAGAGTAAATACAAATATTTGGTTCATCTTTCATGATGGATTCATGTTATTTCTCAACACAACTTCAGGATAGTAAATTTGGTTGGCAAGTTAACTGATGGATCAGTTTCACTATTTGAAACATGTGACTGAGATTGAGATATGGACTGTCCATCCTCAGTGAATTCATTCTGTAAGTTAGAAAACTTTGGTAGATTACTTCTTCAATGCAGATAAGTCATAATTCAATGGGTGTGAGATAGCCAATCAGAGTAATGCATTATGGGTAATATAATTATTCAGGGATGGGGACCAGTTTATATAAGATTATGAACAGTGCCAGCCTAAACACTACATCAGGTGTATATACATTGTTCTCATATGTCACATTTGACAAGTGTGCGTGAAGCTTTGCACACCTCCCAAGATGGTAACAGTTGTGGTAGCAGCATGAATTGGATGTACAGATATGGTTGTTTTATGAAGCAGCCTGGTAGAGACTGTCCAGGAGTGGACATCAACACAGTGACGTCTACAGAACAAATATGTTTTATTAATGTTTTGCTGTAATGGATTATGCACAGTACTAACCAACTACATGTTGCCTATATATCTGCTTGTCAGTGCCAGTGTTCCTTGTCGCTGCCTGTGCTCCACTAACCCTTGATCCTACTAACGTTGTGTCTACCTTATTGTCATTACTCATGTTACTATTGTGATCTGTAATTTCTACCCACCATGCAACATACTGCATTGTTTCAACATTTATTTCCTTCTGTTCCAGGGTTTTTGTTGTATATTATTATGGAAATGGTACATTATGAATATGAATTGTTAATTCATTGATGGGACAGATAATTTGAGGGGGAGTAAAATTGCTGGGGATTAACTGAAATGGTAACATTTTGATGCCAGGTTATATTATACTCATTTTTGACAGTAATTTTGACATGTTTTGTTTCCAATGTAGGTTATTATGTGTCTGTAACTCTGTGATACCTCATGACTGAACATCATCTAGCACTGTTTCTTAAATGGTTGTGAAGAGTGTCACAGCATTGGTCAGATCAACAGGACTGTTGTTAATATGAACAGTCATGTAAGGACTATTAAGCTAAATTGCTATTTGGCATTTCCTCACTTTCTCCAATGTCTTGTTGGCCTTAGATCGTTGTTGGAGATTGTTTTCCATCTCATTTTCTCACCCTGTGAAGAACATTCCATAAAATATTTATTATATTTCCAATACAAGAAGTGGATGGTATCTATGATGCCTGCAATATGTCAGTTCTATTATTGACATTGAAAATGTATGACAAAAATTCTTTTGGAAGGCATATCATTAAAGTGTAAGTGTGCATCATCTTGTGGAAGTGTTGTTTCATGTAACTCACCACTTTTCCTGTCACACTACTTGTTGGTTTCAGGTTTGGAATTTTTTGAGACATCAGCAAAAGAAAACATCAATGTGAAAGCTGTATTCGAGCGACTGGTTGACATTATCTGTGACAAGATGTCGGAGAGCCTCGATTCTGATCCCACTCTCGCCAACAGCCAGACGAAGGCTACCAGGCTGACAGAGAACCCAAACCCACAAGGCAGTGGCTGCCAGTGCTGATCAGCGACACCTACCAACAAATGGTTGTATCAAGGGGAATAACTCAAGTCTCACATCTGGCTTGTAGTGGTTTTAGACTGCTGATTGATGCATTCATCTTTCTATAAATTCTGTGACTATTATGGGAGATATTTAAATCAGAGTGAAAGGACAAGACTGTCCTGGATTTTGTATACAAGGAATGGTTGGAAATCTATACCTCCTTTGAGGATTTATGCCTGGTTTGGGCATACTTCAGTTTAATGCTTTCTATTCCATTTTGAACTCATTGGGAGTAGGGACTTAATATTCACATTTTCCCCTTTGATACAGTTATTTGGTAAGCGAACCAACTTGCCCGACAATTAACATACTTGGGTCACTCTGTCATTTAAGACAAGTCCAGCAATGAGGAATGAAGATATTCACTTGTACTCTTCAGTCCTGTAGAGAATGTCTGTTGATCAATACTTTAATATCTGCAATTCCATGTATTTAGACAGCTCAAGTAGGGCATCTTCTGTTTTCATTGTTAACATAGCTGGATATGGGACCAAGTATTCTGACCAGGACTGTCCGAGTGTTTATTGCTCATACTTAGTCGTTAGGAAACTATTGTATAGACAAAATGGGAATTCTTGTGGCAAGTCCAGCTCACACCCACTGTTCAGACAAACAAGTATTAACAGTGATGATGATGACATCACTTGTAATCAGTTTGTCTGTAAGTAGCCAGAGTGGCGGCCATATTAGATTGATTTAGCGTAGAATCTCAGGAACGGTCAGCAAGAAAGACGACGTCAGGGATGTAACATCATGCCAAAATAGCGTGAACGTAACATTGTTTCATGCTTTTATGCTGTTGTAATCCGTTCAAATGTTTTTGCATTACAGCACATTCTGCTAATTCCTATTTAGCTGTATGTATATAAAGCAGGCTCAAATTTTAGTGTGGCAGGATGATCCCGTACCGTTTTTCTTGCCGATTGTTATCTAGAAGAGTGTACTGCAAATAGAAATCCACATTTATATTATGACTTTTATGTGATTTATCTACCAGTTTGTTTATAATGAAGATATTTATTTCTACTTTGGCATATCTGCCAATATTTATATTTGGTTTGGGTAATACTTGAAGTTTTGTTATTTGTTCATTTTGTTCTACTCTGGAGGATTCTTAATATCAACGTACAAATGGAATGACATTGAATGATCTCCTTCTGTCTCATCTGTCTTTAGTTTCAACAGTCGAGCACATTCTCAGTCTCTCATCAACAGTTTGTACATTCCCTCAGTTCTCGGACATTCCATTCCTGGTTTCTGTAATCTGCGGTGAAATGGGATGACTTTCATTGTAGAATATCTTGACATGTGATATTTATCAGCCACAATGATCTGGAGTATAACTGTAATATGCAACATGAAGGGTTACACATGTTAACACCTTGTTGTTATGAATGGTGAGTTGCCATGGTAACCAAACCTTGCATAGTGTTGTGTGTAAGGATTTCTCAGGTGTAAGATTTAGCTAGGGACAATGTTTCAGCATACAGTAAATTAAAAATATGTTATCACTCTTCAGATGATGTCTGTTCCAATACAATTGTCATGTTTCTGATACAGAAATGATGTTATGATAATTATGGTGACAGCAGAAACTTCACTTCCCGAAGAGAATCATGGTTAACTGGGGAAAAATTGAGGTTCATGCTAATTATCATTTCAATAATTTCTGTTAAGGTTTCTAAACTGTAAGAGTTTTATAGCCTGGTTGACAGAGGCGCAAGTATCACAATTTACTAAAATGACAACTCTCTTCTCCCTTTCATTGCATTACTAACCATAACACCCAGTTTCTAAGTCGGTCTTGATAAATTTGTGTATAGTGTAGAAACTTTGTGAGACATTAACTCTTGTTGTTGTAAAGGTTACTTGAATATACATCTGTTAGAAATGTTGGAGAGCACATTGTTGATATACCTAGTCATCAGCAGCATGCCATTACCAACTCTGTCACCATGGCAGCCTACTGTATCTCATGGCAACTGTTGCCTTGGTGTGAGAGTAGGCTGTTGTTTCTGAGAGCATTTTATCTGTACATAGCTGTAGCTTATTGTTGCTGGATGTGCAGTGTTTCCCACTGCCTGAATGAGTCTGTCTACCTGTCTGTTTAGTTTACGAGGAGTAGGCAGCGTAGTGATGACAATTCCCACATTTTGCGACAAAGCAGCAACACACTCATTTGGCCGAAGTTTTAACAGATCTATCAAAGGTATACACAACCAACTTGAAACCACAGAATCCTTGGATTCAAAATGCAGCAATACTATTGAACCTTTAAATCTTATTAATACACATACACTTTTAAGGCTAATTTCGTTGTGATGGAGGAAGTATGCACATTTTATCAAAGAAAGAAAATCTACTACAGTTTTGCTGTTTTGTCACTTTATGTGGAATGGTTGTTAAGTGTAAGATTTGTGTATTAAACAATCACTTTGATGTGCAATCATTCTGACTTAATATCTCAAGGAGCTTGACAGCCCCCAACATGTGCAATCTCCTGCTGTGTTGAGTTAGCTATGTATCTCTGCTCAGTGTTAGGTTCTTCTCGGCATGCAGTACTGGAGTCTAACAGTTGGTTGATGTACATGTGGATTCCCTACAATCATAATACTTGTTTTACCCTTGTAATAATAAGCTTTTTGTGAGAGACAAACATATATGCTGTGATTTTCTTGTTAATTGTTAAAATCTGTAGACTTTTATTTGTCCTCTGTAGTATCATGATGATTTCTGTACATGTGTATGATACAAGAACCACTCTAGACTTGTCTAGCTCTCCTTCAGTCATTGCCAGCAATAATGCCCTCGATCTACAGTAGCCACTGCATGTTGGCATTGCAGGCTCATTGCATCATGTATTCAACACCTACAGCGTCACATCACCCAGTGTTGTCATAGCGATTGAACAGTGAACATCTGATATGGAAAAAATGTGGTTCTGGTTTGTTTCAATTGGTTTACAGTTCAAGAATCTAGCTTGAAAATGTTTTTCACATGATTAATGTTGAATGTCCAAGACTCGTAAAAAAAAGTTCGAAGATATTAAGCAGATAGATACCCAGACTTCCATGTGAACATAGGAAAGTTTAAACACTTCCACTTACTGGCATGAATAACTCAACATTTTAAGCATATTCTCTCATATTATACCTACATAACCATCATGCTTGGCGTTCCTAGGAACACATGTGATCCTCTGGGTATGATGGGTGATGTGATGGCTACACTGGACAGGATCCTGTGGAGGGGGACCTTGGGGGACTAGTTGACCAGTCACTCCGTGGATGCCCTCCCCCACAGCATCACAGTCTTCATCTTGTATCATCTGTTGGTCTCTCTCTGATGAAGCTAGTCTAGTAACTCCACAGTAGCAACTGTCCACTGTCAGTTATAGCTGCAAGTACAAATAAAGTCATTAACATCACCTATTGTTAATGTTGTCTTTAACTGACAAGAACATTTTATTGTCGTTGAGAGTTGCAGTCAGTAATACTGGAGGTATGTAGTTGACATGTGCTATGCCACACCATTAGGCGCCAATGACATGCTGTCAACCAAGTCACCGAGCCTGACCACGGTCCTGTCAGTCAACTCTACGACAGACATAGGCAGTCAAGGACTTTCACACCAGGAACATCTACAGGTATATAGGAATTCCATATGGTAACACTGACATTAAGAGATGGCTGAAAGTTCTACCAGTGAATTTAATGTCTCTCTAACTAGTCCTTGAAGTGGGCGTACTGCTGTTTATCACATCCATACTATAAAATTGACTACAATATTCTTCATGATTAGATTTCACTTGGAATAAGTAGCAGGTTGTCAAATTCAAGTACACAAAACAAACTCTTAGAACTAAGATCTCTCCTTGAATAATCTCTGGTTATCAAGTTAAGATGCTTGATACAGTCATGACTATGAAATTGTATGTATTTTGTTCAAGCCAGTCTAATATTATATAAAGACAATACAATGTTTAAGGGTGAGAGACAGGTATGACAACATCACAGCCATTTCCTAACTAGGAATATTCAGTCTATGACAGGATTTGACCAACAAGAACATCAACCACAGGTCATCATCCATCACACAAAGGTGCTTACACAACAGCTAGGCTCAGAAAGTATACAAATTTAACATTTAAGCACTCAAAAACAAAAACAATATTGATCACAATTCTTTATGCCAGATATTGATAAGAAATGTCACTGAAACCAAATCATATATATATCTTGAATTCCTTCACACACGTTCTCAGTATGTGATCGTTGGGACACATCAGAAATCAATGTATGGAGCAACTTTTCAATGGCAGCTATTGTTCACAGGCTGTTGTCAACACCACCTGTCACAAGGTAGACTTTGCAGAATTTATAGCTGACATTCACAGGACATAGTTTTTAATGCTTGCCTACATCACACTAATTTGCACTTGATTGTGGTCACACCCATCCTTGTGATCAATGACCTTTGTTGACACTTGAGAAAGTGTGGTACATTCCATCTTACACCAACACAAGTAATTTGATTGGTGGATACAGATCATGAGGCTACTGCTCGACCCAGGCAGTGCAGCTGTGTCGAGCATAAACATGATAATGTTCAGATGGAATTTGTGCATCCCACACCTGTGAAACGTCATCCTGACTGAATACAAAATCCCCAATAACTCGGGGTTGTTGAGCATTTTGTTCAGATTTTGTGCTTGCAAGCATGCAAAAATTATTGCATTCTTGAATCAGATTGAGGTTGTGTTTACATGGGTTCTACATGCAGCTTATGAATTTGTGTATCAATATATATTCTTCTTAAGATCACATTCTTGGTCTGTATTAAATCTAATACTGACACATGCAGAAATTCTAAGCAAGTTATAGATGCTACAATAGGCCATAATGCCAGAACAGAATTAGTCAGAGAAATTATTTGAAACTATTGATTCTACTCCTCCAAACCAACAGATTCGCAGGATTTTTCCAACACGTGATATTTAAGTTTATTGTTACCCACAAAGGTCAGAAATAGTCCCACTTTACCAGTGGGAATGTAAATCAATATCACAGAAAGTCCGTCAAGACTGATAACCAGGTCCTCATATTTGCTGGCTTCCACAACAAGCACGAAGGACGTATCCTGCCCTGGAATCCCAACAGAGCCCTCCAACAAGAATGAGGTACTGAAGATGTATCCTGCTCTGGAATTCCAACAGAGCCCTCCAACAAGAATGAGGTACTGAAGACGTATCCTGCCCTGGAATCCCAACACAGCCCTCCAACAAGTAGAGGTACTGAAGATGTATCCTGCCCTGGAATCCCAACACAGTCCTCCAACAAGAATGAGGTACTGAAGACGTATCCTGCTCTGGAATCCCAACACAGCCCTCCAACAAGAATGAGGTACTGAAGATGTATCCTGCCCCGGAATCTCAACAGAGCCCTCCAACAAGAATGAGGTACTGAAGATGTATCCTGCCCTGGAATCCCAACACAGTCCTCCAACAAGAATGAGGTAACTGAAGATGTATCCTGCCCTGGAATCCCAACACAGCCCTCCAACAAGAATGAGGTACTGAAGACGATCCTGCCCGGGAATCCCAACACAGTCCTCCAACAAGAATGAGGTACTGAAGACGTATCCTGCCCTGGAATCCCAACACAGCCCCCCAACAAGAATGAGGTACTGAAGATGTATCCTGCCCTGGAATCCCAACAGAGCCCTCCAACAAGAATGAGGTACTGAAGATGTATCCTGAGGAATCCCAACACAGCCCTCCAACAAGTAGAGGTACTGAAGATGTATCCTGCCCTGGAATCCCATCACAGCCCTCCAACAAGAATGAGGTACTGAAGATGTATCCTGCCCTGGAATCCCAACAGAGCCCTCCAACAAGAATGAGGTACTGAAGATGTATCCTGCTCTGGAATTCCAACAGAGCCCTCCAACAAGAATGAGGTACTGAAGATGTATCCTGCCCTGGAATCCCAACACAGCCCTCCAACAAGTAGAGGTACTGAAGATGTATCCTGCCCTGGAATCCCAACACAGTCCTCCAACAAGAATGAGGTACTGAAGACGTATCCTGCCCTGAATCCCAACAGAGCCCCCAACAAGAATGAGGTACTGAAGATGTATCCTGCCCTGGAATCCCAACACAGCCCTCCAACAAGAATGAGGTACTGAAGATGTATCCTGCCCTGGAATCCCAACACAGCCCTCCAACAAGTAGAGGTACTGAAGATGTATCCTGCCCTGGAATCCCAACACAGTCCTCCAACAAGAATGAGGTACTGAAGACGTATCCTGCTCTGGAATCCCAACACAGCCCTCCAACAAGAATGAGGTACTGAAGATGTATCCTGCCCTGGAATCCCAACACAGCCCTCCAACAAGAATGAGGTACTGAAGATGTATCCTGCCCTGGAATCCCAACACAGCCCTCCAACAAGAATGAGGTGTACTGAAGACGTATCCTGCCCTGGAATCCCAACACAGTCCTCCAACAAGAATGAGGTACTGAAGATGTATCCTGCCCTGGAATCCCAACAGAGCCCTCCAACAAGTAGAGGTACTGAAGACGTATCCTGCCCTGGAATCCCATCACAGTCCCTCCAACAAGAATGAGGTACTGAAGACGTATCCTGCCCTGAATCCCAACACAGCCCTCCAACAAGAATGAGGTACTGAAGATGTATCCTGCCCTGGAATCCCAACACAGCCCTCCAACAAGAATGAGGTACTGAAGATGTATCCTGCCCGGAATCCCAACAGAGCCCTCCAACAAGAATGAGGTACTGAAGATGTATCCTGCCCTGGAATCCCAACACAGTCCCTCCAACAAGAATGAGGTACTGAAGACGTATCCTGCCCTGGAATCCCAACACAGTCCTCCAACAAGAATGAGGTACTGAAGATGTATCCTGCCCGGAATCCCAACAGAGCCCTCCAACAAGAATGAGGTACTGAAGATGTATCCTGCCCTGGAATCCCAACACAGTCCTCCAACAAGAATGAGGTACTGAAGATGTATCCTGCCCTGGAATCCCAACACAGTCCTCCAACAAGAATGAGGTACTGAAGATGTATCCTGCCCTGGAATCTCAACAGAGCCCTCCAACAAGAATGAGGTACTGAAGACGTATCCTGCCCTGGAATCCCAACACAGCCCTCCAACAAGTAGAGGTACTGAAGACGTATCCTGCCCTGGAATCCCATCACAGTCCTCCAACAAGAATGAGGTACTGAAGACGTATCCTGCTCTGGAATCCCAACACAGCCCTCCAACAAGAATGAGGTACTGAAGACTTATCCTGCCCGGAATCCCAACACAGCCCTCCAACAAGTAGAGGTACTGAAGATGTATCCTGCCCTGGAATCCCAACACAGTCCTCCAACAAGAATGAGGTACTGAAGACGTATCCTGCTCTGGAATCCCAACACAGCCCTCCAACAAGAATGAGGTACTGAAGATGTATCCTGCCCCGGAATCCCATCACAGTCCCCTGGGAGAAGTTATTTAAACTATTTGTAACAAGGGCAAAAACAACAAAACACAGCTGTATTCATATAAAAGATGTATAAATTTTATTTCACATGATGATTGTGTGAATGATCCAGCATCCAACTAATCACGGAATAACAGATGTAATATGTACCAACCTGGGACTGCTCATGTAGCAAGAGTGTAGCCAGACAGTGCTCCAGATCAGCTGGAGTTTATATCAGTGAACAACAAACAATACATCCATATTAATTCTGAGTTGACAGCTTACAAATATGTATTAAATTTCATAAAGCCAAAAGTGTCACAACACTGCACCCATTATGAGCAAGGCCACAATCACTGATGACAGTTGCAACAGTCATATGCATGACAAATGTTTCCTGTTATGACATCAAAACTTTCCAATGGAAAATTGTGGAGAAAGAGCCAAACTCTGAACATACTACATCCATTTGATAAATGCGAGTTATCACATAAATATATAATGCTGTCCAGTAAAACTTGCATAAATTGCATGTAATCAAAGTACAAATATATTAATGAAGAATGGTTAATGACTTGAGACTGTGGAAGTAAACCAGTTTTCCCAAAGTAACAAAAAATACCAACAAAAATCAAAACAAGAAATATACATGAAACAACATTTAGATTCTGCTTTGACTGAAACCACAACCAACCCTTGTCCTACTGCACGTCCAACTCAATATGTCCTGACCAAGATGTGGACACAGAAGAAACAAACAATCCTTGTCCTACTGCACGTCCAACTCAACATTTCCACACCAAGATGTGGACACAGAAGAAACAAACAATCCTTGTCCTACTGCACGTCCAACTCAACATTTCCACACCAAGATGTGGACACAGAAGAAACAACCAATCCTTGTCCTACTGCACGTCCAACTCAACATTTCCACACCAAGATGTGGACACAGAAGAAACAAACAATCCTTGTCCTACTGCACGTCAAACTCAACATTTCCACAACATTTCCACACCAAGATGTGGACACAGAAGAAACAAACAATCCTTGTCCTACTGCACGTCCAACTCAACATTTCCACACCAAGATGTGGACACAGAAGAAACAACCAATCCTTGTCCTACTGACACAGAAGAAACAATCAATCCTTGTCCAACTCAACATTTCCACACCAAGATGTGGACACAGAAGAAACAAACAATCCTTGTCCTACTGCACATCCAACTCAACATTTCCACACCAAGATGTGGACACAGAAGAAACAAACAATCCTTGTCCTACTGCACATCCAACTCAACATTTCCACACCAAGATGTGGACACAGAAGAAACAAACAATCCTTGTCCTACTCCACACCAAGATGTGGACACAGAAGAAACAACCAATCTCATTTCCACACCAAGATGTGGACACAGAAGAAACAACACTTTCCATTTACCAAGATGTGGACACAGAAGAAACAACCAATCCTTGTCCTACTGCACGTCCAACTCAACATTTCCACACCAAGATGTGGACACAGAAGAAACAACCAATCTTGTCCTACTGCACGTCCAACTCAACATTTCCACACCAAGATGTGGACACAGAAGAAACAACCAATCCTTCCTTCTCTCATGGAACAACGAAAAAACTGAAATTCAGAGGAGCTAAGAGGAAACAGGCCAGAACCTCAGCCTAACCTTCTTTCAAACATAGAATTTACAGTTTTAGTTGCCATGACAACTAAACCCCAGTTTCAGGTAAAACTAACTTTGTAGTGCTCATAGTGATAAGAGAACACATGCAACATACATCAAACACAGCATAACATTACAGTGGTTAAAAAATAGTGGCAACACTGAAATATATGAACAAAAAACCAACCCTCCTACCCTACTTTGCAACCATGTGTGAACCACATTATTACAATTATTATTCTCGATTGCTTTGCTATCACTGTTCGTAATTTTGTCATGACATCATCTAATGAGTCAATGGTGACAGTAGGGGGGACTTGTGAATTTCATACACTTGGTGATAGTATACGACAACATTCACAAATGTTCATGAAGATTTCAAATACTATACATACTAACATTTGTATAGCGCCGATATCCAGCTCAGCTCAGCTGCTCAGAGTGCTATAAGTGGTTTAACAAACAATATCTATTTGTTTCCTTATATGTATATTCTTTATCTTCTGTTATAAACAGACAATGTACAGACAATTGCCAGGAGTTGGATGGATTTCATCAACAGTGTTAAGAATGTTAACATTCTTCCACAATTAAATAAAGCAAGTACGACAAAATATATAATGAAAAAACACCCATAAATATGGGTCAAATACAAAATAAATGTATAATGTGAAGTAAGTAAAGCCCTTGTATCCCAATGAAAAATGTAACAACTGCATGGAAACATTAGTATATCACAGATGCATATACAGTGGACCTCCAGAGAGCACTGCCTCGAGGCTAACACTGCCTCGAGGATAATACTGCCTTGAGGATAATACTTGAAATACTGTGTATCCTACCGGTAAATAGCTACCACTGAACCGAGCGGCTCAATATTTCCACTCCTCAGAGAAAGGTTTATGATTTATCTTTTTTATATGAAATGTAAAAATTACCAAAAGGGTTTTGATTTTGATATTAAGGGTTACATCGCTTTAGAACTTAATTTCATTATGCAATATACCACCAATGTTCCATTTGTTAAAGTAAACATTTACACTTCTATATATAACTGGGTGTCATTGCTTGCTTGTTAGATGGACAGATTGTCATCAACACTAAACAACTGGTGGTCTAGTAGTCGGTACTGTCTCCTGGGTCCTCAGTGTTCGACTTCTTCCTTGAGGACTTCTTCTTCTTTCTCATTTTTTTCTCCTTAACCGGCAGCTGCTGTTCTGAGCTGGTGGTGACCACTGGTGAACTGGTTGAAACTGGTTGTAACAGGGACTGACTGGTAGTGTTTGTGTTGTCCTCAGATTCAGCTCCTACTGAGTGGGAATAAAGACAGAATTATATACCTTAACGATGGTACAAGGTACACTCTCACAGACCAAATTAATCATGTTCATTCTGACTATGGACTGTAACACTCTCACCAGTAACATGTGTCCTGCTGTTACCCCTTACTAGCCTGGCACTCACCAGTAACATGTGTCATGCTGTTACCCCTTACTAGCCTGGCACTCACCAGTAACATGTGTCCTGCTGTTACCCCTTACTAGCCTGGCACTCACCAGTAACATGTGTCCTGCTGTTACCCCTTACTAGCCTGGCACTCACCAGTAACATATGTCATGCTGTTACACCTTACTAGCCTGGCGCTCACCAGTAACATATGTCATGGTGTTGCCCCTTACTAGCCCGGCACTCACCAGTAACATATGTCATGCTGTTACCCCTTACTAGCCTGGCACGCACCAGTAACATGTGTCCTGTTGTTACCCCTTACTAGCCTGGCACTCACCAGTAACATGTCTTGCTGTTACCCCTTACTAGCCTGGCACTCACCAGTAACATGTGTCATGCTGTTGCCCCTTACTAGCCTGGCACTCACCAGTAACATGTGTCATGCTGTTACCCCTTACTAGCCTGGCACTCACCAGTAACATGTGTCATGCTGTTACCCCTTACTGGCACCTGGCACTCACCAGTACCCCTTACTATGTGTCACCAGTAACATGTGTTGCCCCTTACTAGCCTGGCACTCACCAGTAAACATGTGTCATGCTGTTGACCCCTTACTAGCCTGGCACTCACCAGTAACATGTGTCATGCTGTTACCCCTTACTAGCCTGGCACTCACCAGTAACATGTGTCATGCTGTTACCCCTTACTAGCCTGGCACTCACCAGTAACATGTGTCATGCTGTTACCCCTTACTAGCCTGGCACTCACCAGTAACATGTGTCATGCTGTTACCCCTTACTAGCCTGGCACTCACTAGTAAGTGTGACATGTTGTTACCTCTAACTAGAGACTGTGAGGCACTCACCAGTAATGTGTGTTGAGCTCAATGTCCTCTTCAGATGACCCTTCTGGTCAACAATCTCCCGTTCCTGTGAAGCTTTGTCATGGTCATTGGAAATAGTTATGCCGCTGGCCTTGGTTGGACTTGTATCCTGTGTGTCTTCACCAGAATCTATTTTAACCAAATTGGAAATTTTAGTATAAATTGTATATTTATATACTTATCCTATCTCATGGTATGCCATAAGGTTAATAATTAGAAATAACCTTAATAACAAGGTAAAAATAGATACACATTAGGGCTGGGATGGGTCCAATTTTCTACCCGGGTACCCTACCCTACCCAGATACCTGTTATGTTAATTCCTGACATCAAATTTGCAAGAAATGGCAATATATTCTTCAGCTCAGAGGCTACAATGTCGAGTTTTTCAATATCTTAACCATGTATTATTCAAAAGAAGTGACTGTAAATTATGTCTAAATCTTCAAAGACAATACAATCTTTTAAGCATGAAAGAATAACATATTACATTGTTTAATCTATTAGTTCCAAGTTCATAGCGGGTCCAGGTATTAATACGGGTACCCAGGTCCAACTCATAACCCACCCGACCCGGGTATCCGGGATACCCGTCCCAGCCCTAATATACAAACATCACCAAGTCTAGTTGGGAAAGGTAAAAGGAATATTTGTACAAATAATTTATTTTTTATCTGTCTTCATATAGATGTGTAGGTTTATCATTTACATAACATTAATCTGTTTACAAAATATTCCTGTCACAGAAAAATATTTCATTAGTCAATTGTTCTACACAAAAAGAATAATCCCCACCCCCTTCATGATTTTTAAAGAGATTTTCAGCAATTGTGATATTTCTAGGAATGTTGGCATACTTCCAAATAGCAGTTTCACTAATGCCTAAATCATCATGCATGAAGTTAACAGATGTTAGGAATTGAGCCAAACCTTGTTTACTGGTGTGAAGCTGAATTAAGCCATCTGTGGTTGTCTCCCCTGGGCTGTAGTCCTCCAGATCCACGACCGTGTCAGTCTGACCTCCAGAGTCACCTTCAAACCCTTTATTGTCCTCTCCTCTCAAGGTCACTCGGCTGTGGCACGACAGACTTGAACTTGGCCTGACACCAAGTTCCATTAGACAGTTATTAGACAGTTATAACTACTTAATTCAATAATTCATTAAATCGCATTGTTGACAACGAATGCAAGACTCCATGTACATTATAAATCAATACTTGAGACTGTATCTTGTAAATAATGAACTAACCTGGGCAAGTATGTCATTAGCATCACACAATAATTTCAGAGCATGCAGTCATGCAAGAAACTAACTACAGACACATGCAGATGCTAGACATTCACACAGCCTCACAGACCTGGAAGGTGGTGGAGACAGCAGCTGGATCTCGGGAGCTCCCTTCAGAATGGAGGACACACTCTTCTCGTCCTGAAACACAAAAATTGGGGCCAAAGTAAATTTAAGTTTTACGAATTGCAACAAAATCGTTTGGTTAGCTCATCAACTGCTGTATAATAATTTTATTTCCATTGCAGAGCTTGCACTTGGAAACCGAATCATCTCATGCCTTAGGAATTAAGCCAGGAGTTAATATTCTACTCAAAGTTTGCTAAGGATCAAGTTTTGATCATTACATAAACCAAATCATCCTACAAAAGATGATTGGGTAATCCCTATAGGATCAGTATCATGAAGACTGGTCAGATGCATGAAGTCTTGGGTACAATATGCATGAAGGGTTTGGAAACCTATGCACATCATTATTAGAGAGCACAATAATACTTGCTAATGAGGACTGCAACAACTGAATACACTCATTACCCCTAAGCATCAAAGACATTTAATGAAAGCAGAATTAGGCATATACGTAGGTATGCATGAAATTAGGTTCCTTCTGATTGGAGCAAGACAACAGCACTTCGTGACCACCATCGTGCTCAGAAATGACCTGCAGAATGCCAGTGACATTAATGTTTCCACTTACAGTCTGATTGATTTCATTTGAGACTGATGAATTGCTCACTAACACAAAATCTAATAATTGCAACAAAGCGTTGTTTAACAAACGATCATTATTTTGTTGTCACTTTTGGCAATTTGTTATGAGGGGGGACCATTTGCTGGTAGAACAGCCAGGTAATGAACAAGCATTTGTAGTGAAATTTCAATTTCACACTGCAACTCACACACCTGGCTGTTCTAGCAGCAAGTGGTCCCCCATCATAAAAAATAGTGAAAAAAAACCTTTCTTATGTCCAAAATTATGAGACAAATCATCAGAGTTGGTCTGTTGATTTCATGTGACTGTGGTCAAGGAGGAGGTCTCTGGTCAAGGAGGACAAGCATTTCCACCCCACTCAATTGCCATCAGTCAGATTGTTTGGATTGGGCTACAGATCACTTCAGTTGGACCTACCAGGGCTGGGCTTGAGTAATTGTCAATAGAATCGAGATACCATATTGACTTCACATATCATTGTGCCAGAGTGTGGTGTGGACAAGGAGAAACATATTCATTATTTGAGATTATATCCATAGAGATTAAACGACCGATTTCCATATCCTACAGCAGGGCATGACGACAAATGTCAGATGCAGGGATGATATTCTGGAAGCGTACAAGAGACTGCATATTTGTACCACTAGACCAGACTTCATCCTCATGAAAGGTAATGCACAACCTCATCTTGCCAAGGTCATTGATGCAGTGTCTTAGAGCAGAAGGCCAGAGTGGCAGTCTTTGCGGTAACCATTGTCTATTTCTTGTCACTGTGTTTTACTCAAAGGGGCCTGTATGAGGTGAACCCATTGAACTCGTGTTATTAGTATTACCTCATCGATATCAACCAGCTGAAGGGGGAAGCACAGAGACTCGGACAGGTACATCTGCTCCTGGTCCGGACCCTGTGGTGGGGCGGGCATCAGATCCTCATAATACTCCATCGTGTCTGGGGACACAAATACGTACATCACAGCAAATTTGAATCATTCTGTTCTTTACATGAAACCAACAACTAAAAAGTGAACAAGAAACTTCTGATGCATCCCAATAGTGACAAAGTATTTGTTAGTCAAGTACTTTTTACTGTCATGCAATTTTGCATTAAGATCTCTGCAGTATGACATGTGACATGTTTCACCCAAACTGACCTTCTACTCGAGGGTTGGTCTCTGACTCAGGCCAGATTCTTGTCATCTCTGGTCCAGTTATCTGTTTCTTGGCAACACCCCTTGATCGTCCATTTAGGAAAAAGCCTGTTCATCAAACAAGAAAATCAACTGATGAAGATGATGACCAATGCTGGTGGTGTATTAAAATAAGCAACGTATAAACCAACAATATCTGCAGCAATCAATATTTGTCTTTCATTAACATATATCGGATATGCTTGAATGAATGCTTGTCTCCCTAATACTGATAATTTAGAAGCCTTGGTACTGATAGGCTGATTACAAAGTTTACCCACAAAGCCCTCATTTGCAGGTTCCCTCTGACCTTTATATAAAGCAGCATATTGCAGTAAAAGATCTGATTTGAATAAGATTGGGCTGTGACTAATTCATTGTCAAAATGAGATAAATACATTAAGGTTTCACATTGGTTCAGACAAACTTCCAATACTGTGTATTTTATTGGAACTGAAATCAACCACTCACATGATATTGCTGTTAAAAAGAAGATTACTCTACAGTTTGAGCAGCATTCGGATACAGGTAAATGACGGTGACACTGTACAAAGGTCAAAATTATAAGTGGGAAATCGGCAAACCTTAGACATAAAGCCAAGTCAATCAGATCGTGGCACAGCCAAGGGAGTCTAAACAACAACATAAGGCTACTCTGTGAATCAAGCACCCCTTGAGGGAACCTACTCAAGACGGTCATCTTCAGCAACATCCTACGTTTGAGGGGAGAGACAAGGATCAAGTCGTAGTCTCTCTGAGCAAGTCGACGTGTGAACATCGGCATCAGCTTCATCAACTCTGCTGCTGTCTCGCGGATGGAGTCCTTCACGCCATCTACAGGACAAATATAATACGTACAATACAACTGTTGTGTGATAAAGTGTAATTTAGTACCGCATGTGAGCGAGTGAGTCAAAATTTAAAGTCACGTCAGAGACACGTTGATAATACAAAAAACAGTAAAAAAAACTAGACTATCACAGATGTACATTTAGAACTAGCATTGAAACATAGAATGATATTACAATACAAAACAAAACAATATACACTTACTATAGATTGCCAACAACTGAAGGTAGATCACCCTACTAGGGACCATGGCATTAATGTTGCTTCCTGCATGGCTCTAGCTGGATGTATACCATCCTAGTACCACATGTATACTATTCTATTAACATCAGTGCCTGAGATTTTGTTGGGATGTGATGTGTTAGTTCTTTTTCTGTAAATTATCAATTTTTTTCTTCAAGTGGGAGAGAAAATTATCATTACATTGATAACAAATCTTTGTTATGATCAATGAACAGAAGGTGATGTAAACACAATGGAAAGTACTACTTAAGGCCAAAATACGAACTTGTATATTTTCCATGTCATCTCAATACAGGTCTACTAAATACTGCAATATTTTCCACCTGTATCACACACTCTATCAGTCAGACTCATACCTGGGGGTAACAATCATAATGTACTTAAAAAATTAAAATGCTCAGAATAACAACGAAAATTAACATTGTTGCTCCTTGAGGATAACAACATGACCCCAGTGTGCTGCTGTTGAAATCAAGAACATGATGTTTCAACAACGGACATACAGTACACAGTGGACTTCACTGTATACAACATACAAAGGCAGACCTAATCTGCCACATCATGGTTCACCGGGTTAACATATCTGTATAAACCTCACCTCCAAACAGGGACTTTGGTTCCAGCTTCTCATGCACCTGAATCATCTCATCTAGGAGATCCCACAGAGTGTCATGGAGACCGTCTCCTAGTTTCTCTGCCTCTCTCGGAAGTAAGCATTGATGACCTGGATGTGTTGGGACAGCTCATGGACGGGGGCGAACATGGGGTTGGCGCTACGGCACTTCTCTACAGCAAAACAGTTTGTCAGAAATACTTTGCTATGAAACAGTATTCAAAATATTATTTTAAATACCTTCATCATGTTTATGCTGTTGTTCTCTAAAAGAAACACCAGTTTACATGCTGACAATATTATAACTGTGAGTAGAATGTTCCAAACTCACAGTTTGGGTGTATGGTTCTGTTCAGAGGATTTCTTCACAAAATGTATAGATCGTTTGTGAAGAGACCCCATAAGCTCAAAATCATTGTTGAGACAGCTGAAGCACTCAATAACTCCAATAAATAACATACATCTCATCATCAAGTCATAGATGCATACATTACTTCCAAACAGAATGTTTTGGGATACAACATAATATTAATTATAGTAACAATAATCATGATAATCAGTACTGGATAATTAAAACAAAAATCATTTTGTAAACCATTGTTTACAGGCATAATTTAATCATCAATCACTGGTTATCATCAGTTATTATCCACCAAGCATTTATCATTATGACAGAATTGATGTGAAATTTTGTCTGTAAAACGTTTATCAGAATACCTGTTTGGCTGAATATTATACTCTTATAAAAAAAAAAGAAGGAATAATGAAATATATGTGAAAATGTTTAATACCAAGTTTTAGCATGATTAGAACAAGGACAAGTGTTCATGTGCTCCAGGCAGTAGTGTCACAACATGTGTTGGGTATTACTGATTTCAACACTTTCAATTATGTCTGTGGACTGTTATGTTTTTCAGTCTTATTGATTTCGCTTATCATCAAGTTGTTGGAAATGATTGCTGGTAATAACATGTTCTGTCATACTCCACTTCTGGTCGTAACGTGCTCCCCCTGCAGTCATTATCATCAAACCACTATTACTCAAAAAAGAAGACATCTCTTATATTTCGAAAGCTTAAGTTAGATCAAAGGCAGGATTGAATCTTTTGATTAAAACGTCAATAGAACATATACTTTTCTCCACATCTGATCACTGCAGTGGTGCAGTTAACCAATCATTATAGACAATTACTATTGTTAAAGGCCACATGCAACGTAAAACACAACTTTGCAGATTCTGATCCCTTTCGGTATGGACTTACCAAAACAAATCATCAAAAATGCAAATTCAACTTATAAAGTTGAAAAATAAGGCGATGAAAAAAACCTGAGCGAAATCGGACTTCAAACGATTCACTAATTTTCCCCTAGTGCTTGGAGGAAAAGTGGTTTCAACACCTATGCTGCGCTGCGCTCCTAACGGTTCGCGGAGCTTGAAACAGGATGCATGCCCATATTATAAGGTCGTGAGCAGGAGTAGTCTAATCCTGGTTGTGTACACAAATAAATAGTAAATAATCTACTCGTTACATAAAAGAACCTTGTAAGGATCTAGATCTACTCAGCTATGTGTCAACCAGTGAGGCGTTCGACATTTCAAGACGGAAAACCTTTCCTGGCGGTGAGTACTTAGGAGTCGGGAGGCTTTGATGTGAGCTATTTTTCTACTGTTTTGTTGATATTTCACAGGCGCGAGCTTTTTATATGTTATGACAGTAGATTACCTATTTAACTGTTTATATAATTTCATTTGTCTATTTCACCACACGTTTTTCTTACCGAACTTTGTCAGTTCGATACTTAAAAGCAATTTCATTATTCAGCGTTGACAGAATTTCTAACTGTGATATAGATATGTCATTATTCAGCGTTGACAAAATTTCTATTTTATTGACACCTATGTGTCTGCCTGCCTGTCTGCTAATGACAATATTCAATACACAACTTCGATCACTGACCACATGCAATTTGAACTTAACACCTATCAGGCTATACACCATAAACAAAACACATTGATTTATGGCCAGAGTTTGGTCTCTGTCAAATTATGTAATTACACAGACAGGCAGGTGTGATACTTGTACACATAACATGTTATGATGTCTGTTGATTGCAAAATGTTATATACAAGAAATGAGCACTTATTTGCAAAACCCAACATCTCTATATACACACACACACAATGAGCCGTGAGGGCATCGGCAAATGAACCAACCGTTACACTTGAGTACACACCCACCCGCTCTGACTGGGTTTGGTCTTACGGGTGCTTCGTTTTGAGGGAAGTAAACCCAAGTAAAAAATATTACACTTTTGATTTGCGATTGTACGCTTATAATTTTGTTTGTATGTTTTTTCATAATCAACAATGTATATCATATGTCATGAATAAGTGATAATTGTGTTTAATTATGTTTGATTTTTGGTTGCATGTGACCTTTAACATTGTTCAGCCTGTGAATCATCAACTCACCAAGAACATCACTACTGTAAACATCAATCTGTCTAAATATCAACTCACCAAGAACATCACTACTGTAAACATCAATCTGTCTAAATATCAACTCACCAAGAACATCACTACTGTAAACATCAATCTGTCTAAATATCAACTCACCAAGAACATCACTACTGTAAACATCAATCTGTCTAAATATCAACTCACCAAGAACATCACTACTGTAAACATCAATCTGTCTAAATATCAACTCACCAAGAACATCACTACTGTAAACATCAATCTGTCTAAACATCAACTCACCAAGAACATCACTACTGTAAACATCAATCTGTCTAAATATCAACTCACCAAGAACATTACTACTGTAAACATCAATCTGTCTAAATATCAACTCACCAAGTATAGATCTAGCCTTGAGCACAGACACCATATACTTCTTAGTCTCGACGCCGACTTTATCCGCTCCATGGTTGGCCATGTCTGGCCACAGTGGTGAGTGTCCCTTACGTCGATGCCAGTAGAGGTTATACACCAGCAGGTGACCCAGGAATGCCAACATACTCAGTAACAAGACGCCGTTCACCCCTACCAGGATCCAAGTGGAGTATGGCTCCACGAGCCATGGAGACAGAACCTCTGATGGGGGCACACTTGCCAAGCAGCTTCCCATTATGCAGTCACCCAAGAGGCACAGATAGCCAACTACGAAGAACACATTGAAGCTGGTTATTCGAAATGGCCTGATGATGGTGACAGCGAGCAGCAAAACAAACAGTGTTCCAGTTGTGGCTAAAGCCTGAGCGAATATGTTCTGGACTGCAGCAGCGTATATGCTCAGCAAGACAAACTTAAAGAAGTGTAGGAATGGTCTGAAGTAAGCTGATCTCAATCTAAAGGATGAAAATATGTGAAATCCCTTCACGATCCAGAGGACATCCAGGCCTGACATGTACTCCATTTCTTTCAGTTGGAGGTAGGTCTCATGGTGTTGAGGTGTCCCAGCCAGGATTTCCTGCCGGGTTCTATAGATCATCCTAGCAGGAACCAGGAAGTAGAATCCAATGATGACAAATATTGCCAGTGCTACATATGCCCAGTGTAAACCAGAAAAACATGTAAGGTCATTCAAAGGGTCGACCTTGGCAAATATGTTTGTGCACTGGAATAACTTGGCAATGGCTACACCAAGTGGAATGGCTATGACCTGGGCGATAATGATTCCAGCTCTCTCCATCCTCGCAACATGGACAAGTAGGTATGGTCGCTTCCTGTATCGAAGGACTGCATAGGTACCTACAAATCCTCCTATCAAACACAATAAGAAAAGGCCCCATCCCAAAACAATGTAGTTATAGCTGAATGGTACAAAGGAGCTTGGTGTGAAGTAGTCTTGCACTCCATGAAACACTCCACTTGAAACCTTCACCAGCTCCCAGATATCCACGTTGAAAATGAACAGAAAGTATGTGTAGTTAATCCATATCTTGGGCCACACCCATCGTAGTGACATCACCTGGACTAGTGCCAAGATCTGTAACATCTCGAGAATGGTAATGAACACATCAAACCAGATGAGGGATGTATTTCGTTTTCTCTTCATCATGAAGATTGGTCCATCCTCTGTATCCAGGGGTGAAGGGCCTGGTTGTGTCCGCAGGTAGTACTTCCCGGTCTTCACTCGCCCTTGTGACAGCAGCGGCTTGGAGGCCTTCTCACGACGCAGATGACTCGTTTCATGGCGCATCATGTTTGTGGAAAGTTTTTACAGCTCTTCAAAATAACTTAAATCTGGAACAGATATTAAAAGAATACATTTAGCTTCAGTTAAAACTGAAAAGCTAAATTTAATGTTCCCAAAGGGAAATCCAAGGCTCCACATCCGAAGGCATTTATTGATTTTTGCAGCTTTGGTTGTTATGTATTACAAAATACTATCTATTCATCAATTTCATTTTGTCAATAATTAAGAATACCTTATTACCATTTCCTGTTTCTGAGTGTGTTAGATAATATGAGTATCCTGTTACCGATATTGTTTACAATAGTCTCCGCGATATAGATCCATACAGATCTGTTGTCAATTTTATTGTTGTTGTCTCGATTATCGCATGAACAATTGAAAAACATGTTACTAACTTATAAACTGAATACTGTTCCCACTACATCATTAAAGAAATTACAATGTCTGTGTGACAGCGTGAGTGAGCACTGCTCAAAACCTATGATCTGACGACGAAGACCTCACAGTCCATAATTTATGTCTTCATCCAATATCTTCGATGTCGATATATGTTAAATAATTTTAACAAGGGTTGTGAACAATTGATCGATTCCTGCCTTCGTGTCTAGACAGTCAAACTGTTGGGCAATTTACTCTTTCGAATTTGTTTACAAACACGCACCTGCCAGAATTCCGCCATCTTGTTTAAGTACGTCACGCACTTTACCATGACAACCAGCGAATCTCGCGAGAAGAAAGCGTCCTTGACCTATATGAATACAACCTTTGACCTAGAAACACATGCTGCCTGCGAAGAAAACGTTTGGTTTTACTGTAGCTGCATTAAGAACACTGCACCGATCGACAAGCAGTATGCCGCTGAAAATTGCAGCCAATGTTTCTCTTTTGTTTAAGGAAACGCCAAATTTAGCTGACAGATATCAGGTTGCAAAAGATGCTGGCTTCAAGTTTGTGGAGTGCACGTTCCCGTATGACGTTCCAGTTGATCAGATGGCGGCTGCCAGGGAAGGGGCGGGGCTTGAGCAAGTGCTTATCAATGGATACCCAGGTAAATCCATTTGTGAACGTGACAACTAGAACAGTTTGTGTATTGCATTTTAATGAATGAAAATATATATCAATATTGATAATGTAAATTTCAAATTAATATTTCTTGATATTGCTTACATTTGAAAATAATTATTGCCAAACAAAGTCTTTCATATATTCTTATACTGCAACACCGACAATACGTGTATAAAGTTTGGGGAATAATGATAAGTTCTCTAAGACTAGTTGAAATAGATTACTTGAAATGAACATTCTCAGTCATTGTGAAAACATAAAATGAATTGTGAAAGAAGTTTAAATTGACCAGCCATTTATTCTAACTAAGAATATTTTGTTCTCCAGGTGACCTAGCAAATGGTGACCTTGGATTAGCTGCACTTCCAAGCAGAAAAGAGGAATTCAGGGAAAAGTTGGAATTATCAATACAGTATGCAAATGCTTTGGAGTGTAAAAGGTAGTTGACTAATCACTTCTAGAAGACTTTTGTAGGAGTGTTGATACAAGATTTAATATGCAAAGTAATTATTGAGCCTAATCTCTCCAGATCATATCCTTATCTGTGGAAATATTGAAAAGTTATCTTGTATTAGTTACCTGCCATTACTTCTGCACAAAGGTTTTTGGTATGGAGGGAATCAAGAGGTCTGTACAAATATAATATGTCAATTCACAGTCCATTTATAGTTTATATTGGTGTTAAGAAAATATAAAATTATGTCTGTGCAGCATTCTTCAGAGAGCCATGAAAGAAGAAGCACCTGGGGAGTGCCAACTTGAATTTGGATGTTTTGGGGATTTTATATCATGTCTCACTGGAGATACTAATGTTACATTATCAGTATGAGACATTTGAACATTAAGAATAAAAAAAACACCCGAGATAACTGGATGGCTTGGTTTGTCTGTTTCAACAGGATGCATCTGATGGCTGGCAGGAGGGGTCAAGTAGATGATAAGGTCATGGAGGAGACATTCCTTGATAATCTCCAATATGCAGCAGATCGACTACAGAAAGTAGGTATAGAGAGTGGATTGAAGCTGTAAAGTTGGAGATTCATGATTGATATTGGTACTTCTGTGTCAACTGTTTGCTTACATTTTATGCTGTTGCTTATATACTCAAGTGACATGCTCTTATCTTTATCTCATCTAGTCACTGAACTAGTCTCACTGTCTTGTATCATCAGGAGGGAATCCTTGCTGTGATTGAGCCAGTCAACAACCGAATCTCTGTACCGGACTACTTCCTGTACGACCCTCACAAAGGTAGTTTCACACAGTTCACACAATGACCCTGGTATATGTATCTGCAACTTCAGAGCTCTACACAAGTAGTTTCATCTTCTGGCATTCAGATTGAAAAGTCTCATATTCCATTTGTATGTTATGCTGTAAACCTGCATGACTTGTTTAAGACAGGAATCAATGATGAGTGACATGATGTAAACCTGCATGACTTGTTTAAGACAGGAATCAATGATGAGTGACATGATGTAAACCTGCATGACTTGTTTAAGACAGGAATCAATGATGAATGACATGCTGTAAACCTGCATGACTTGTTTAAGACAGGAATCAATGATGAATGACATGATGTAAACCTGCATGACTTGTTTAAGACAGGAATCAATGATGAATGACATGATGTAAACCTGCATGACTTGTTTAAGACAGGAATCAATGATGAATGACATGCTGTAAACCTGCATGACTTGTTTAAGACAGGAATCAATGATGAATGACATGCTGTAAACCTGCATGACTTGTTTAAGACAGGAATCAATGATGAGTGACATGCTGTAAACCTGCATGACTTGTTTAAGACAGGAATCAATGATGAGTGACATGCTGTAAACCTGCATGACTTGTTTAAGACAGGAATCAATGATGAATGACATGCTGTAAACCTGCATGACTTGTTTAAGACAGGAATCAATGATGAATGACATGCTGTAAACCTGCATGACTTGTTTAAGACAGGAATCAATGATGAATGACATGATGTAAACCTGCATGACTTGTTTAAGACAGGAATCAATGATGAATGACATGCTGTAAACCTGCATGACTTGTTTAAGACAGGAATCAATGATGAGTGACATGATGTAAACCTGCATGACTTGTTTAAGACAGGAATCAATGATGAGTGACATGATGTAAACCTGCATGACTTGTTTAAGACAGGAATCAATGGTGAATGACATGCTGTAAACCTGCATGACTTGTTTAAGACAGGAATCAATGATGAGTGACATGATGTAAACCTGCATGACTTGTTTAAGACAGGAATCAATGATGAATGACATGCTGTAAACCTGCATGACCTGTTTAAGACAGGAATCAATGATGAATGAATGACATGCTGTAAACCTGCATGTAAACTTGTTTAAGACATGAATCAATGATGAATGACATGATGTAAACCTGCATGACTTGTTTAAGACATGAATCAATGATGAATGACATGATGTAAACCTGCATGACTTGTTTAAGACATGAATCAATGATGAATGACATGATGTAAACCTGCATGACTTGTTTAAGACATGAATCAATGATGAATGACATGATGTAAACCTGCATGACTTGTTTAAGACATGAATCAATGATGAATGACATGCTGTAAACCTGCATGACTTGTTTAAGACAGGAATCAATGATGAATGACATGATGTAAACCTGCATGACTTGTTTAAGACAGGAATCAATGAATGACATGATGTAAACCTGATATTTACTCCCCAGGGCTGGAATATGTGAAGCGACTGAACCACCCCAACTTAAAACTTCAGTTTGTAAGTATCTGTGTGTCTCCTGCATTAAAGTAACATTACCTGTATAGGTCGTAGCATGGCTAACTTAATATATCCAGAAGAAGTTAGAGATCATGGTCAGTGGTGACCAGGACTTTGAGTTTACTTATCTTTGAATGTTGTTATGATGCAAGAAGTTACATGTTACTAGACTGATGGATTATGAGACTGAGATTTATTAAGTCTGAAGAAAATATTATTGGACTAGGGGGTATTGCAGAGAATATTCATATTGCGATGCGAAAGTATGTATTGTGATATGCATTGCAATATATTGCATGAAGTATTTTTAAACAAAAAAATTACTTATAATCGAGTTACTGCTTGATTTATAGAGCAAAAACACAACAAAATCACTATGCTTGATTAAGCTTTAATAACAAATTTTAATCATCATAAAATAAAAATGTGAATAATATTTGGCACAAATGAAACAAGGAAATATCCAAAGATTTCCGAGTGTTGCGACGTTTTCCGAATGCATGTCAAAATATCGGTTTTCGATCAGCGTATCGCAATACGTATCGTTTTCATATCTGAACTGGTAAATACCGGTAAACCGTTTATATTGCGCAGCCCTATATTGGACACAGATTATTAGGTAGGTAACACCTTGTAACGTATACTGAACATTAGAAACACACCACACTAAAATGCACTGATAATGCCGAGATATCATGGATACATTTCAGTCTGACGAGGATATTTCATATTATATGGGTGGTGCATTTCTAATGTTGTTCAGTATGTGTATATTACGTCATTTGTTCAGCAATTATCTCTGCCAAGTCTTTCCCCTGTTTCTGATCTGTTGTCATCCTTTATTGCATGGAGTTTCGATGCATGGAGAAAGCTGGATATTAACATGTTTTCACTGTGTGTGCAGGATGTGTTCCATGTGCAGATCATGGATGGAAACCTCACCAAGAACCTGAAGGAAATGTTCCCCTACATCGGTGAGTAGGTGTTGTTGGTGGTGACTGAGTTCAGCTATTCCAGCCATCACAGGGATGATTCTGTAATGATTCAGGTGTATCATCTCTCCATCCTCTAGTGCCAGTGTCTGCAGGTCATGGATTTGACTCCCCGAATCATGGTCTGTCTGCGCCATACCTGTGTCCTCCAAGTTTCATATGCACGCTGTCATATGAGCGAAATATTCTGAAGCACGACGTTAAAACCAAATTTCACCTCACCTCCAAGTTTCATAAGGGAGTTAAACATCCAAGACCAGCATCTTCTGGGGTTTTCTTCCATATTCAAATGACATGGTAATAAATTAAACCCTGTTGAGAGTGGTGTCAAATACAACTAAGGCCCTGCTTATGAATGATGAATCCATGTTACCATGACAACTAAAATGGTTTCAGGTCATATACAGATCTCCCAAGTGCCAGAACGCCATGAGCCAGACAGTCCAGGCGAGATCAACTACCCATATGTGTTCCAAGTGCTGGAGAATCTTGGATATGATGGCTACATAGGCTTGGAGTACAACCCAAAAGGTAAAGCATGTAAACTGTGAAGTGTGTAACACCAATTTAGCAGCCATAGAGCTGATCTGTTTTCTGATTGTTCATGTGATTACTGGAAACTGAAATTTGACCACTGATAATTCAAGGTGATGATAGTTGAGCTTTGTTTATTTCATTTCCTGCCTTTGATGGATGTTTTAATTATGCACAACTAAGTTCACCTTCCAACTTCGAACGAACGATCTGTTTATGGCTTTGGCATTGCATTTGATGGATGTTTTAATTATGCACAACTAAGTTCACCTTCCAACTTCGAACGAACGATCTGTTTATGGTTTTGGCATTGCAGGTCCTGGCAACGTTTTCATCTGGTAGACAGTGTTCCTGTATACTATTACGTCTCACTGTAGCCATATGATATAATGTCTTCTTTTGAGTAGTATATCAACAACTGTTGTCCTCAAGGAGGATAGTTTCGCTTCATTCGAATTGCAAGGTTACAAGGGATGATATTTCAGCATGCAGTATGGCCTACACTGTAGAACTGGTAGCTGAAGTAGTAACAATGTGGCCCCCATGGTCTTGGACAAATTGTAAGGAATAGTCTAACTGACCAAGTGAGGTGATGGATCCACACTGGTGTACATCTGTAGCTAGGCGATGCAGGAAACTTCACTGTCCTCTTATATTGGTGGTGTTTTCAGGAGATACACTGGCTGGACTTGAAGGGTTGCGGAAACTGGGTCTCCTGTGACAGGGCAAGTCTTTGTGAGGACATACACCATATTAACAAAGGAAATGAAGATGGCTGCTGGGGATTTATTCTGGTTGTCATAAAAACCTGGAAGTATTGCATCTTGCAATATACATGAAACAAATTCGTTCATAGCCAATTTCATCACATTGTCTAACCTTCATGATGGTCACTGACAATCAAATGCTTGAAAATTCTTCAAGAAGTGTTCATATTGCCAAAGTAACCTCTTTTTTGCTTGGATCAGCTGGGTGGGATTTGTAATAAACCACACTAGGGTCACTGGTCTTGTCAACCCTTATCATTCATGTCCTTCATCCATTTTGGTATTCTTCAGTGTTTGTGAAACTCACTGGACAAATTTACTCATTGGGTCATCTTCAGTGTTGAAATTAGCAAGAGACCCTAGCATTCATGACTATTATTGGAGGAACTTGGTCAGCTCAGATCTATTCATCCCTGGAGCAGGCCTGGAGGTTCTTCATGTCTTAGCCCTCTGAAGAGACAGTCACAATGGGACAAGTAGAATATCTCCGCTCCAGGACTCACAGAAGGAAAATCAAATGATGTCACCTTGACATTCAGTAAGCCATATTCCTCCGAGTTTGGTGCATAAACTGTGCTGTTGTCGTTAATCAAGACAGAACAGAAGCATATCAGAAACTGCTCCCACACACAAGGGCTCCAGAATATTTCTGATGAATGTAAATCAGAAACATATTTATTTTGATTATGTATGATCAATGCAATCAGTAGGTATGAAATCCTTGTATTTAACATTTGCATGATCAACCAAATACAAATACTTTGTAAACTGTACTTCATTCATCAGTAGTCTGTCTATCATCAGTGGTACCACCCAACATGAAGACCCCAAACTTCCTGTCTCAACTTATAATAGTATATTATACTAACATTAGTAAGTGGTGGCAAATTCTTCATTCATCAGTAGTCTGTTGATCATCAGTGGCACCACCCGACATGAAGACCCCAAACTTCCTGTCTCAACTTATAATAGTATATTATACTAACATTAGTAAGTGGTGCCAAATTCAGGCTCCCTGGCGAAACACTTTGACAAAGACTGTAGCAGAGATTAAGAATATCTCAGTTACAGAGTAATCTTGTTGGTGTGTCACCATCGCTGAAAGAGAGCTATCTGGTGAGCATATTCTCCAAGCCTGCATTGTCTGCTCTCCTTACTTGTACCAACAAGCTCGAATTATACCTGTTGGTTCTTTGCAATAATTTATACAATTGTTATGACAATGAAGCCGAGAGGCAACCCATCGTTTTACAGAGTAGTGTTCCTTTGACATGAGAAGATCCTATGAAACATCTGGAATCTCCACTCCTTCCACATGAACTTGGTTTGGTGCTCAACGCGACACTCGTCAATATTCCAGCTATATGGCAACAGTCTGTAAGTAGTTGAGTCTGGACCAGACAATACAGTGATCAACAGCATGAACATTGATCAATGCAATTCGATGACATGTCAACCAAGTCAGCGAGTCTGACCACCTGTCGCCTGTCAAGACAAGCATTGGTTGCTGTAGCCCGGACCTTCATGGGTACCTCCTACATCAAGCTGACACTAACCCACCGGACCTTCATGGGTACCTCCTACATCAAGCTGACACTAACCCACCGGACCTTCATGGGTACCTCCTACATCAAGCTGACACTAACCCACCAGACCTTCATGGGTACCTCCTACATCAAGCTGACACTAACCCACCTTCTCTTTAAGCAATATTTATTCATGGTTTTACTTTCTGCTTCATTGTACCGACACACAAGTGTAAATGATTTATGAAGGACTTGATAGCCATTATTGTTTTCCCACATAACTCATAAATGAATCCAACAGGTTTGTTAGAATAAACATAATAAACTAAGCTTCTGCAATTCATGCAGAGTTTGGATACATTTCAATGGTGATTTGAATGTTTACACTCACTTATTCATGATCCCATCATATAATTGGCAAGCACTTTACATATGGAAAATGGAACAACAAATTGAATAATTCAACACATATTGGACAGCTGTTTGAAGAGTTTATTTAACACAAATTAGCATAAAAAATATGCACTTTGAATTAAACGGATCATACATTCCATATCCCTCTATAAAACGTTGAGCACATGATCACCATGACTTGACCTGAAAACCTCACAAACACAAGGCCTGTCACGTCGGGAGGAGAACCTGGTTTAAAAAACAACATCTGTACAAAAGTAACTGAGGTCAGAATTTGGAAATTAGAAGTACAGGTAACTGGTTCAGGACTGAGACATGAGATTCATGATGACAAATACAAACACACCTTCTCAAACTTGAATCTACCTTTTCAGATTCAAGGCCTACCTTGTACTGGTTTAACACAAACCATGTTCCTCTGAAAATGCATTATATCATTAAAGAAATTGATTCAAAACATAGGATCAAAAGACTGACGATTGCTTTAACAATCGATCTCCTCAGCAGCAATATCTGAGAAATTGATTCTAATGGTTCTATACATTTAAAAAAATAACTAAAACAGAACTCCCTATCCCCCAAATCTCACTGTTTACATTGACTTTCCTCGTGGTAACATTCCTACATGTAGGTTGTACAGCAACGAAGTGTACCACACTCGAGGTTAAGGACTACCAGATTCTTTCATAACAAAATTGGAAATGTCTTATGCTTCTTTCCAGGAGTAAAAGTAAATAAGTCAAACTCTACTGGAACTCACTGACAACACTAGGATATATTTGTAGTATACACTGAGGTGGTCATGTGAGAGCTCTTGGAAGACATCGCTTGCAATGAAACTCAAGGAAGGCAACTCATAAGTATCTACAGATAATACTAGAGTAGAGGACTAATTTGAATATATGTTAGATTATACAGAATGAAAAATATGGGGCTAAAAGTAACAAAATACAGAAATTATGTACATCTGTGCGTTTTAGGTATAAAAAAGATGCATGCAAGTAAGAGCAAATTCAATAAACAGACAACACACTAGCTGCTGACTTGACAATGAAGTTGAAGGACTAGTTGACAGGCACCACCTTCATTAGTACTAGAGTGTTCACGAACATTTCGCATCGTTACTCTTGAATGATCGAATCAATTCCTGCAGCAAACAACCTGTCATTATTGGAGGCTGATGGTACATCCATAGATGTGAAGTAAACATTCCATTCAATATATCTTAAGGTTTGAAAATTCTTCCCTTGATGGTTACTTTGAGAATAAATGCTTTAAACATTTAAATAAAAACATAAAACATAAACTTTGGAGGTAAATATGGCATGTGGTCCAATAGGAATGTCAATAAAATCTAAATTCAATAAGTGATAAAACTATGATTATGTAAATATATACATTCTTTCATTTCATTTTTAATTTAAGCTGCCTAACTAATCTAAACACAGAACTAATCAGCACTTTCAATTGACACTACAGCAAATTCAATTCACCAACACGGGGGATAAAGAATTATTATTCTTCCTACAATGAACATGATTATTAATTTCATTCATGACTACAAATGATGAGGAATAACAGTTGGTGTATCACTGTGTAGTATTGTTTAATGATATATGGCCGATGTAAATGTTTATATAACCGACATGAGTTCTATTATGTAATAATTGCATCTACTAACTGAATACAAATTGTGTAAAACAATATATATGCAAACCAGCTGGATGCTCCCTGTAGGGGTTGGAAATGTCCAATAGGCCTGTAAATACTACGTGATTATATGTAATATATTGGCACCTTGTTATGACTTCTGATCACCCAAACACCTTACTTCACGGTATAATTCCTAACTCTAACACTTTCTTCTCCCTGATCACTTCAGTTGACATAGATAGGGTAAACCTGTTGATGTTCATCCTTAAATAGGTTAATCTCATCGTCCCGGCTTCATAGCCAGGAAAGTAGTGGTTGAGGACAGCGGAGAGGCTGGTGTTGACGGGCATGTTGTATTTTTGAGGCAGCTCGAAGCGACACGCAGGGCAGGTGTAGACGTCGGCCTTGAACGATCTCTGTAGACAGGACTGGAAGACAGAAGGTATCATCTCACACAACAGCACAGCAAGGGAAGCTAACACGCCCAACTAATGGCCGCTGCATTGAAACACAATGGATTAAGACAAAGACTGAAATACTGGCTGTGCAATTACAAAATGAAGCCCATTGACATGATTAGACCACACCTAACCAGCCGTCACTTGTGTTTTTGTCTAACTTTCTTTGTTAAAACCAGTGATGACCAGCTGCCTACCTTGCAGACATTGTGAGAGCACTCCAGGGTGACCGGTTTGACGACAACATCCTGGCAACAAATACAGATGAAAGTCTCCTCTATCTTCTGGATAAATTTCTGGAAACAAAATGACTGGAGTAAGCAAAGGGTTCACACGGCATTCTTCATGGCACTGGATAAATATGTTTCTCCTTTTATATACAGGCAGGGAATGCAAATAAATATTGTCTCTCCCAGGTGTCAAATTACTTGGAAACTTTACTTACCATAGATTTGTGACAAAACACCCAAATGTTCAAGTTTCCACAATTTGTCATGGCACATTCTTCATTAGATACAGAGAGTAATTGCTTTATGCCACTGCTAGCAATATTCCAGGCATACACTATCACAGAGGGTCAATGTTAAGCCAGCATCTTCAGCTGACAGTAATCTCCCAAACCCCGTCCTATGGCTTCATTTTCATGCTTATGCAGTCTGAAGTTTTGGTTAACCCGGTTGGCTTTGTGCCAGGTTGTACGTACCGGCCGCCCCTCCTTGGTGAACTCCATCACCTCCTCCCACAGCTTCTTGTTGACCTTGTCCTCCTTGATCTTGTCCAGCTGCTCAGACTCGATCTTGAACTGAGACACCTTCGCCTTCTTGGGAGTACTCACAGGGGAGTCTGAACATAGATCAGCTGTTGAATAGGTGTGTGTGTGTGTGCGTGCGTGCGTGCGTCCGTGAAAGAGAACAAAGATTAGCTGTTGAATAGAGGTGCATGTCTTAACATAGATCAGAAGCAAAAAAACCCAACAGGTTCTGAGGTCTAAACACAGATCAACTGTTAAATATGGGCGTGTGAAGTAAGTGTCAAAACTAAACATATATCAGCTGCTAAACGTGTGTGTGTGTGTGTGTTGTAATGGCTTCACAAAGATATTTGTAGTAGTATTAGATCTTCTCCATCATTATAGGCACCCTTTGATGTTGGCATTATATCTCAAGGCAGTGGGGAAAAAATGTGCGTTCACACGCAGAAGAAATGACGTACACTGATCTAGCGCCATGTGTTCAGCTAGGAAAACAGTGAAGGTAACTCGTGTTGCCTCTACGTGCCTGTAGTACAAATATGCTCAGTTTATAGATAGAATGACAAGAACGAAATGCTCGTAAAATATTACGAGGCATGTTGTTAATGAGCAAAACAGAACTTACATTTCTGAACATGAAATTAAAGTTATAAAGTGAAAAGTCACAAATTGTGACACCACATGTGTGTTTGTGCATGCATGAGTGCCTTAACAAAGGCAGTGTGTATTACCCTCTGCCTTCCTCTTCTTGCGACCTCTGCCTTTGGGCGTGGCTTCAGCAGCCTCCTTCTCCTTCTCCTTGAGAGCCTGAGCCTCTTGGTATCCATCTGGGTACTGTAATCATAACCCAAGTCTTATTGAATAGTGCAAGGAATTAGTCATTAACACAGTGATTCTCATCAGCATATATAAGGTGTAGAAGATTTCAAACAAATTTGAAAAAAATCAGTTAAAATTTATATTAGATACAGTCGAGCACCGTTCTCTTGATATTCATGGGACCAAGAAAAAATATCGAGTTATCCGAACTTCGAGACATCTGACCAGGACATATCATCATATATCACTTTGAAAGAAAACAAAAATTAGGTTTTATGTATATGCATTTGTATATACAGTTTTAATCACAGGGGTCGTAATCACACACGATACAACTCAAGTTACAGTGACCGGCCATCTTGAATGATACAAAAGTTGGATTTATTCAACAATCGAAACAACTCAACATTCACATGCTAGTCATGCGATTACACAAAACCCTCATTGGATTCTCAATATGTTTTGATTCGAAACAATAATCCGTTATCAGTAGTGTTTAGACGTAACAAAGGGTACTCCCTAATTAATTCCTATAAATAACAAACAAGCATCACCATCAACTCAATTAGACCTAATTAGTTTACACTACCGCATCCCTTTGATTCATGCCGCACTGTGTGAAAACGTGTGGAAACAACCTCAGTTCAGAGAAATACTTGGTCATGAAAGGTAGGTGAATATTGAGTTTCTTTGCAAATACAGTGGACTCTGTCAATACCGGCCTCTCTTAACACCGGCACTCTGTCTACATCGGCACAAAGTTTCAGTCCCGGCAGAAATGCACGTTATTATCATTTAGAAACCTCTGTAAACATCGGCATCTGTCTATTCAGGATATCGGCATTGTTTTTCAGTCCCAACGAACAAGTTGTTATGAAAACGAATCTGTAAAAACCGGCACATGAAAGACGGCGTAACCCTTTGATGCAATTAGGTCCAAATGATGTAACAACACAATTCGCTGTGACTCCCGAGATTATTCAGAAACGGGAAGTGTTAATCAGTATCTTGTTAATCAGTGAGTGGTACGTAACACTTACATAGAGTAATTAATACATGTAGTGGGCAGTTTGACTGTATAAACAAGCAAGTGTTTACATTTTGTTGATTCGCGGTATTGACTCGTGATTATTCAGAAACGGAAGTGTCAATCAGTTTCTTGTTAATTAGTGAGTGGCACGTGTCACTTACATAGAGGCTTAATCGTTTGATGGCGTGTATCGCTCGAAAGCTCTGAACATCAACAATATCACTGTACTCTTGCCGAGAGTATTTTCACATTTGTAAGAAGCGATTTTATTGGATAAAGATTGGTTTCTAACGACGCTTTTCACTACACTCTGCTTATAAGGGTCGTGATTGGTCAAAATCAGACACGTGGACCCAAGCAGCCAATCATATTATGAAAATGGATACCGATCCTCGTAAAGCGAAAAGTTTTAGATTCAGACGAAAGTTTTGGGTAAAATAATGCTATTCTGAACATATTAAGAAAGACATCGCTACCTATACGTAAATCATGGAACGTATTGGACATATCGTGCTAGGTTGTGGCCTATGACAAAAATGCTTCACGCATATATTTTCACATTAAGCATCGTGTGAAAGCCGAGATGTAACTTGTCAGTGACTTGACTTACATTGCATGATCGCTCAAAAGAATGGAAATAGTAATTTTATATGTACGTTTGACAACTTTTATGAATGTTATTGTTGATTTCAATTTATTTAATGATTTCCTCGATGTTTGAAACATCGTTACTTTGCTCTTTGACAATGCTATTGTAGACCCGCTGCCGAAGCATAAACAAGAATCGTTGTTATAATTTTAATTCTGCCGATAATATATGATCAGTTGAAATTTAATAAGAGATTTCAGACATTTTTATTTGATTTAAACAACATGAATGTGCATTCAGACACTGCCTTGTTTCTTATTCAAACATCTTGTTAATGCTAAAGTGACAGTACGACAGCGAACTTCGTTGTGCGCAGGCGTCATAAGCGAACCTAGCTAAACCGGCACTCTGTCAAAACCGGCATTTTTACTTGGTCCCGACTGATGCCGGTATTGACAGAGTACACTGTATGGAGTTAAAAGGGTAATTTTGCTTGTTGGGACCATGAAATTATATCGAGACATCCGTATCGAGTTAAAAGAGCTTGAATAATGATAAATTATGAAGGATTTTGCTGGGACCGCGATGTTATATCGAGACAACCGAGATATCAAGTTATCAGAGTTCGACACAACAGTGTTCTCTTGTATATTTATTTCTGTTTTTGGGGATTCAAAATTTCATTTGCTCAAAATGTTAGGAACAAAAGAGAAACATTAAAGGGAGGGCAGGGGTACAGTTTCCTCATAATTTGATTTGCTTGCAAATTTTGTAAATGTTGAACAGACTTTTATCATAGAAGCTTTATTTATTCATATTGATAGAGAGAGTAAATGGATTTGACTTAAAAATATTTTACTGATTTCTGGTTGGCTTCTCATTCTCATAGTTTCCAACAGATTTGTAAGCCAAGTGTCAACAAAAGTCTGGCCATACTTAAAATGCAAAAATGCAAGTTACTGTGTCCAGACAAAGGTTTATCACTTTCTCCAATCTCTGCAAGAATCTACTCCTTAACTCAGGACATACTTTTACAAATGCAAACATACATATAAAGATTCAAAACCACAAGAGCAAACACCCAACTCGCACCTGCATCTCAAATCCCATCTGCTTGACACGTTTCTTCCCAGCGGCAGACCACGGCGGTGGTGTGGGGTCGTCTCGACGCAGCAGGTATCGCCAAACCAAGAAACCGGACTTGCCTGCTTCTGGCCAGTACTTCACAATCTGTAAAGAACATAGTCTTCATTTCATTCAAGGTCACTAGCCACAAGATGGAAACTTGAATGTCAGATATTTCTGATTAGATGAACCATGGACATTTTTACTGTTACAATATTTTAAAGTATAATTGGAATTTTGGACAAGAAGTCAACCAACCTCATTTCATTTTTGCAGAAGGCCTCAGATGAACAATAGACAACAATACCTGAACATGTGAACCCACCTTGTAAATACCATCATAACGATTGCCATCTAGTGGTGCATATTTGGAGTGCCTGCTTCCCTTGCAGTTTCGGACGACTCTCACAGGCTTCCCGTCCTGCCAACCCTCCTTGGAATCTGCACCATTCTTTGCATTGATGGATGCATTGCAGTTCTTGGCTAAGGCTCTGCACATACACCATATGGCTTATGTAAGAATTTATTAAAATGACATGATCGAAAAGGTGAAATATTTAAGTTTTTAATTTTCAACATTACCAACATGGCACTAAGTGAAGATGCAAATATCCAGAAGTAACAGTATATAAAGTAAAGTATTGTTTGTGACTTTTACATAACTGAACCAGTCCATCCCTGCCATCACAAACAACATGTATTTCCAGTTTTGGAAAAATCACTGCCTACTTACAATGTCAAACCAGGTAAAGTACCTCACCCCAGCTAACATAACAAATGTTTAAATGTATTTCTGATCTAACAGCATAACTTGTGGTCCTCCTACACAAATAATATATAAAACCTAACATTTGGTTGCAAATAACAGTTATCGTGCCAGTTTTCAATAAAAACTTGCAAAATTTCATTCATGTTTCTGTGAATACTTGTTCCCATTGCATACTTCGTGGGTGAGTAAAAACATGGAAAAATAAAATAAAAAATAAAAATTCAGAAAAGAAAGCACATCGAAAGGAAAAATTTCAGCATGTGTGTAACATTTTAAAATACGAAAGGGCTTCCATTTTTGCCAACTGGTGGCCCATAGATACTCCAGTGATCGATATCAACAAAGATCCATGCATTTGGGCGACAAGCACAATTATCAAGGCTTAATACCTCAACCATCAGTCATCTCCTTTGACCAGCTTAGGTTATGGACAACTAATTCTGACCTGGAATCAAAACTGGGATGACTTTTATGTCATCATTACATCTTGTTCAACTCGCAGTGAAAATATATTGACCTATCAATAAGCTTGAACATTGACATTGCTGATTTCTGAAAATGGTCCCTTTGGTCTGAGAAACAAATGCATGCCACTTACTTGTTCATCCTGGTCAGTACTTGATCACATGACTGTTCTGCTGTACGTTTATTGCCAGAGAGGTCACGACCCCCGCTTCCTGTATACGTAAACTGGTCACCATCATCCTGAAATAGTATCACAAAAGTTGCACAACACCTGATCCACTTAGTCGTCTTGCATGAGAAACACAGAGTACTTGGGACCTACTCTATCTATGAGTCCCCGTATTCCTGACAGCTTGCTCCAGCTTGAGTCTGGGAGAGCTAGGTCAGGCTGCCAGTGTCATCATGCCCTCACCCAGGTCCAGGAGCATCTAGTCTCCCCACACTAATCACGGTAGGACCCTTCCACCACAAATACAACAGCTGGAGACCTAGGTCACGCTGCCAGTGTCATCATGCCCTCACCCAGGTCCAGGAGCATCTCGTCTCCCCACACTAATCACGGTAGGACCCTTCCACCACAAATACAACAGCGTGAGTCTGGGAGACCTAGGTCACGCTGCCAGTGTCATCATGCCCTCACCCAGGTCGAGGAGCATCTCGTCTCCCCACACTAATCACAGTAGGACCATTCCACCACAAATACAACAGCTGGAGACCTAGGTCAGGCTGCCAGTGTCATGCCCTCACCCAGGTCCAGGAGCATCTCGTCTCCCCACACTAATCACGGCAGGACCCTTCCACCACAAATACAACAGCTGGAGACCTAGGTCAGGCAGCCAGTGTCATCATACCCTCACCCAGGTAGAGGAGCATCTCGTCTCCCCACACTAATCACGGTAGGACCCTTCCACCACGAATACAACAGCTGGAGTCTGGGAGACCTAGGTCAGGCAGCCAGTGTCATCATGACCTCACCCAGGTCCAGGGCAGTCTCCCCACTGTCACAGTAGGACCATTCCACCACAAATACAACAGCTGGAGTCTGGGAGACCAGGTCAGGCAGGTCAGCATACCCTCCCAGGTCGAGGAGCATCTCCCCCCACTAATCACAGTAGGACCATTCCACCACAAATACAACAGCTGGAGACCTAGGTCAGGCTGCCAGTGTCATCATGCCCTCACCCAGGTCCAGGAGCATCTCGTCTCCCCACACTAATCACGGCAGGACCCTTCCACCACAAATACAACAGCTGGAGACCTAGGTCAGGCAGCCAGTGTCATCATACCCTCACCCAGATCCAGGAGCATCTCGTCTCCCCACACTAATCACGGTAGGACCCTTCCACCACAAATACAACAGCTGGAGTCTGGGAGACCTAGGTCAGGCAGCCAGTGTCATCATGCCCTCACCCAGATCCAGGAGCATCTCGTCTCCCCACACTAATCACGGTAGGACCCTTCCACCACAAATACAACAGCTGGAGTCTGGGAGACCTAGGTCAGGCAGCCAGTGTCATCATGCCCTCACCCAGGTCCAGGAGCATCTCGTCTCCCCACACTAATCACAGTAGGACCATTCCACCACAAATACAACAGCTGGAGACCTAGGTCAGGCTGCCAGTGTCATCATGCCCTCACCCAGGTCCAGGAGCATCTCGTCTCCCCACACTAATCACAGTAGGACCCTTCCACCACAAATACAACAGCTGGAGACCTAGGTCAGGCTGCCAGTGTCATCATGCCCTCACCCTGGTCGAGGAGCATCTCGTCTCCCCACACTAATCACGGTAGGACCCTTCCACCACAAATACAACAGCGTGAGTCTGGGAGACCTAGGTCACGCTGCCAGTGTCATCATACCCTCACCCAGGTCCAGGAGCATCTCGTCTCCCCACACTAATCACAGTAGGACCCTTCCACCACAAATACAACAGCGTGAGTCTGGGAGACCTAGGTCAGGCAGCCAGTGTCATCATGCCCTCACCCAGGTCGAGGAGCATCTCGTCTCCCCACACTAATCACAGTAGGACCCTTCCACCACAAATACAACAGCTGGAGTCTGGGAGACCTAGGTCAGGCAGCCAGTGTCATCATGCCCTCACCCAGGTCCAGGAGCATCTCGTCTCCCCACACTAATCACGGTAGGACCCTTCCACCACAAATACAACAGCTGGAGTCTGGGAGACCTACAGGTCACGCTGCCAGTGTCATCATACCCTCATCCAGGTCCAGGAGCATCTTGTCTCCCCACACTAATCACGGTAGGACCATTCCACCACAAATACAACTCCTGCACCAAATATAAGTATTTGGAATTGTTTACCTCAGTGACTGATGCACGTACCTTGTCATCCTCGTAGCCTCCTGACAACACAATGGAGTACGCTCCCTCGTCTTCACGGCCATGGATGCCGGCAACATGGGGGCGATGACATCCTGCTTCGCTGACCTGACACAGACACACCAGTCTAATATAACCATGGAGTCTCACAGACACACCAGTCTAATATAACCATGGAGTCCCACAGACACACCAGTCTAATATAACCATGGAGTCTCACAGACACACCAGTCTAATATAACCATGGAGTCTCACAGATACACCAGTCTAATATAACCATGGAGTCTCACAGACACACCAGTCTTATATAACCATGGAGTCCCACAGACACACCAGTCTAATATAACCATGGAGCCTCAGACACACCAGTCTAATATAACCATGGAGTCTCACAGACACACCAGTCTAATATAACCATGGAGTCCCACAGACACACCAGTCTAATATAACCATGGAGTCTCACAGACACACCAGTCTAATATAACCATGGAGCCTCAGACACACCAGTCTAATATAACCATGGAGTCTCACAGACACACCAGTCTAATATAACCATGGAGTCTCACAGACACACCAGTCTAATATAACCATGGAGTCTCACAGACACACCAGTCTAATACAAGAAGACAAAGTCATCAATATCCCCCGCAATGGCAAAATACTCTTCGTGATTATGTCTACGAGTTATGATTATGTCAAATATTTAGGTGTGTATATAGAAAAGTGGAAGGAGAGTATTGAAAGGTTTTTAAAGTTCTGCTCCAGAAAGCAGCACTATCACCAATTTCAGGCTAAGTCAAACTTGTTGCCATGGAAATGCCAAAAATATTTTATTCAGAATTCCAAAACTACCAAAAGGCACCAGTACACCACCAGACCAATCTAAGTGCCAAATTTGGTGAAGAAATATTGAACGGTTTTAGAGTTCTGCTCCGGAAAAGAGCACTACCACTAATTTCAGTCAAAGTCGAACTTGTTGCCATGGAAACGCCAAAAAAATATTTAATTCAGAATTCCAAAACTACCAAAAGGCACCAGTGCACCACCAGATCCATGTACATGTATGTGTACTGAGTATTTCTGCTCCAAGGGGACCGCGAGCATCTACTGATATCTCAGTCAGACATACCTGTACCCTGAACTTCCACATCATGCCGACCTCAACGCCAGGCACTGGGCCGAAGTGGTTGGGGGGAACAAGCGTACACATCTTAGTCCGTCCCACACACGCCATACCCTGAAGGAAAAACATCAAGCATTGTCACTAAGGTGACATAATCGCCCGCCGCAAATGATCAAATCAAACTTATTAAGTAATGAAAGTTTAAGTTAAATGTCAACAAAAACATGACCAGTCAACCTCTGTTGATATCTTGCTCTTTAGGTGTTCAAACACACACATATTTTCAAGACTGACTTTGACCTTGACATGAATGTCACAGTGTATTATATATGCAAAAATAGTACTAAAGAAATTGCTTTTTGAAAAACATTTAAGGGAAGTCTTGAAAGTCTTTGAAAAAAATCCAGTGAACCCTTCTTGAAATATCTTGCTGACAATTCAGGTTAACATGCTGAAATCTTCAAAGTGTCTCTGTGACCATGAAAATTAAGTGAAGGTCACCAAAATCGAATGGGCCCTGCGCCTTTCCTAGATAAAGCTTTGTATTGAATATGATGAAAATCCAGTGAACGCTTCTTGAGATAGCTTAACATGCAGGTGAAACTTTACAGTCCCCTTGTTGACCTTGAAATGAAGGTCAAGGTCACCAAACCTGACTTGGACCTTTCTAATACTGTGATGAACCTAGGTACCAAATATGAAAAGAATCTAGCGAATGGTTCTTAAGATATTCCAATTCGTACAGACAGACGGAGGGAGCCTAATACTATATCCCCCGCTTCGCGCTAAACGTGCAGCGGGGGATAACAATTTAATAAACACTTTGGCATGTGGGCATTTCTCTTGCTGCTTAGGTATCTAAGGAGAAGCTTTCACGTGGTATTTTAGTGTTTCAAATCCTTCCATCTGATGACCGACCCTATACACCATCTTTATGGGTGTACTTCTGCAAGATTACGAACTACACACATCTTCATGCATACACGTCACAAATCTCCACATGTAATGTGAGCACGCCAGAGGGGTAAAAATGTATCATACCTTTCCCCAGTCACGACTGCTTTTGGAAGTAGCAGACGCCATCTTTGATTTCTTTTTGCTCTCCTTCAGTTTCTCTCCAGCCTTGACAACACTGTTGGTGTCCACTTTGCAGGACGGACAGTACCTGAAGAACATTGTAGCCAGTCACTTCCATGATCAGCCTAGATGCCCTCCTTCCACAGGGACACAAACTTAGCAATACAACTGTTGCAATACTTGTAATATGTATTAATCTATGTTAACAAACATTTTCTTATTGGTTGGCTAATCACAGGATGAAGTGATTGTACATTTAGGTCCCAACTGCTACATGAAATGAAAGTAAAGGTTCTCAGCAAGAAAGACACAGTATTGTGAACCAGGCCCATTAAATTAGGGAGATGAGACTATTCCTCACCATTCATCATCATCGGGCACTGTCTCTAGGGGTGGGTTGAGGCAGTCGAGGTGATACGCCTGGTCGCACTCATCACACAGGATCTGTCGATCCGGGTTGTCCTTCCCTCCACACACGCAACACGCACAGTGTTTACACTTCCTTCGGGGGTTGTCGTGGCAATGATCACACTCCGGCTTGTTCTTACCTGCCCAACATTCATCCTGTTACAAAACTGTGGTCAACTCAACCATTTCCCTCTTTCAAATTATTGATCTAGTGAGGTGTGCACATTAAATGCTAAAACAGAAGCAGCCCCTTACAAATGCCAGCAAAACCTCCCCCTGAAAAGCTCTCCTATGAACCATTTTGACTTCTGAAAATCAGGCGACATCACCAGTCATCTTGTTATTGTAATGCTGAGAAATCACTCCCGTAACTCGAGCTACAGTATAAATGGGACTTCCGGTCCCATGACAATACATCTGCTCAAGGTAAACATCCCAAAAGCAACAGAACATTAAACAGGGCCTCCCATGTGTCTAGCTATCTGTTCAGTAGCAAATAAGTGCATAAGCCCAGTGTTCGAAATACCTGCCAGTCAGGTTATTTTCAACACGGACTGCCAGATTCTCAAATTCACCTGCCCGACGGTCGGGTTAAAAATTGGACATGTGTATGAAGATATTTTGATGGCAGGTAAGTTTTGGTCAGGGCTGGCAAGTTTTACATCTAACCAGCTCTGTTGGTCTGGCTGAAATTTTGGGGAGTTTCATACTCTGAAAAGCCCTCATAAAACATCACACAAACACTGGGATGGTTCCCTACACAAGAATCAGAGCTCCTTTAAGGAGCATCATGCTTGTGACCACGACCTTCAATGGTCATCCCAAATCCTACCTCCTCAAACCCACCAACATGATATTTTGTTGTACAACAATGTTGGGAAGATACATGCTTGAGATTGAGGTCTTGAAAGTGAATTTGACCTTTATTATCAGTGGCAAATATTTCAAGAATATTACCAAGATTTACAATCTTACAATTGGTCTTAAAAGGTGATATATATTATGGCATAAGCAGTCCTAAGTCTTGGATGAAGGTCTAACAAGAAACGTACGTTTGGCAGGTGATATTGCTGGATTATCGGCATCTCGCGTCTCATTGAGTTGAGTGCCTGCCTTCTCGATACTGAAGATCTCATCCACAAATAGAACCTTGCAATCTTCGAGGGGCATGAGGTCAGCACTGAAACAGACAAGTCCATCCACATTCACAAACCTTTTTTTTGTATTGTTTCATTTGTCGTTTGACGCTGCACTCAGCAATATTCCAGCTACATGGCTGCGGTCTGTAAATAATTCAGTCTGGACGAGACATTCCAGTGATAAAAAATCTCTGTCTATGCACTCGGGATGCAATGACATGCCAACCAAGTCAGAGAGCCTGACCACCATATCTTGTTAGCTGCCTCTTACAAGCTGAAGACCAATTCAGACCTATCTGTTCCAATCTACCCAACAACCACTACAACATAGCGTCGAAGATATGCAGACATTGAAGCATTCAGCTTCTGTTCACGTCTACTCTAAAAATTTATGAAAACTGTATTTTGTTCAAGGAATATTCATTAAAAGCACGGGGCAAGATATCATTCAATGCAATAGCGGTCAATACTTTAACCAGGTTTACTTTTGCCCTGACTCTCACCCGATGAAAACTGTTCCCATAACTTCCTTGATCGTTCGTGTGTCTCGCTTCCCTGAGACGATGCAGTCGTACCAGAACCCTCTCTCTGCATGGTCATCATAATTGTAGTTAACCAGCACATGATCACCACACTTGACATCGCTTAGCTTCACCTTCTGCCTGGCCCGGGGTCGGATGTTATTTGAGCTGACCTCCACCACATCTTCCTCGTACCTGTGTCAACACGAAACGCAAATCACTGCAGTGATGTCTTCAAACACGACACACTGCCACGACATACGGCTGTGTAGGTGTTCTGCATGTTTACCTTATACAGTGTACCCACAGCCAGTCAGTTTTGGAGATGCCATTTTATCTACATCTACTGGTCATGCACCAAATAGAGATGTTCCTTTATGGAAAATTTGCAGAAGTACCCAGAAACCTACAAATCAGCTAACTGACCATTACATATTAACTAAATATAAAGCCTCCATACATTCAAATATCCACATGATTTATAAGCACTGGTCAAGTTACTATTTACTTTTTTGTTAGTTATCATGAACTGTAATGTGTATTCGCTACTGTAAAAATGCAACAAAAATAAAAAAATTATTAACAAAATATATGGTGTTAAAACACAAGTGGCACGATTGGATCGGAAGCTTACATTCAAGGCACTGGAGATCAATGGCCTCTTAGCGAGGATCTTTTGCATTGGAATATAGCTGAATTCTACTGTTGAAGACATCGCCTACTGGTATTTTGATCAACTAAGTTTTGATCAACTAATTCCTCAAGGTAACGTCATTGTAACTGTTCAGAAATAGGAAATATATGGGGATTAAAAATACATACAAACCTTGTACCTTTTACAATTCTAGCTTTAGATTATATTCAAAAGATGCCACAACAAGGGCACATGTCACGCTCCTCAGTCTAGATATTCAATATCAGCAGATTGTCAAGACCTCTTTCACCAAGGTGTTTTTTTACAAACATGCAACTGTGCTGAGCTAAACCCACATGCAACTGGTGCACTGTTGATTGGAACTGGGGCTACTTTCATGAAGCAACCTTCCATTCTTTAACACTGCACTATGGTTAGCTTAGTGACTTACAATCACCTCAGTGCTTAGTGAAAGGAAGCCCAGTTGGGGCTATAGCAGATAAAATACCGACGCCTGTGTTTACTGCAAACAGCACCAAGCTCAAGAACAGTAGTTAGGAAACTAGCAAGATTGCTATTATCTCTGGGATGTCAATTTCTTGTCAAACAATTACAGATAATGTCATTTGACCATTTGTTTTAACAAGATGTCATGCTTGGACAAAGAAAATTTCGCTTCTTTACAACAATATACATAGTAAGTAATGTACGTCAACGTGAAATAGATCACAGAAAAATCAAAACACTGTCATTGTCATGATCAGTTACTATAAAGTATCATATTACTGGCTAGGATTGTGTGGCATTCTTAAAATCTGCAATTCCAATGGAAGGTTACAGATATTTGAAACTTGGAGAATAGAGTACTGTTTCCTTAATGACTCAGGTGTCTGGTGAAGTGTGTTTTAAACATGGCTGATGAGTGATCCTCTGCTAGAACAACTGAGTATGTCGTTAGTTGCTAACATGGTTGAGTGTAAACACATCCTATTACACATTAGCTGTTGCGAAAACAATCAAGGAATTAACCTGGGTTTTTAACCCCTAAATACACAATTGCACATTTAATATTTGACATTCCCGTTTCTCCCACTTTCTCAGGCTCATTCCTCTATTGGTTGTAAGTCCCCTGTACCCTCGAAACACATGACCCATGTTGTAAGTCCCCTGCACCCTCGAAACACGACCCATGTTGTAAGTCCCCTGCACCCTCGAAACACATGACCCATGTAAGTCCCCTGCACCCTCGAAACACATGACCCATGAGAATCCACAGACATGTAACGTTCCTGAAAAAGAAAGCAACAACACCCCAGCAACCTAAATGAATAAGTAAATACATATAAGGCCAATCAGGCCTTATATACTTCCATCCGATGGTCTTTAACCGTAATGAATACAGATCAGCAGGACCACATAGTTTCAGCACAAGTGTTAAACAGATGCTGAAGAATTTGAGAATGTAAACCCAGTAAAATCTAAAACGTATAATTCATGTACCTAGCATAACATACAACTTCATAACTAATAAACAACTTCCTTCCGTCCTGACACTTACCCTTCAAAAATGAGATGATACACATATCCATCTGTGGTCTTTGGGTTGATAATGTCTTTGGATAACTCGAACTTTTCATTTGCATTTTCATCAACACTTTTCATTTCAACATTTGTGTCATTCTCACTATTTACACATTCCTTGGAATTTTCGTTAGAGTGTGCTGTTCCAGGAGTAGATTCTGTGTTTGTGTCTGTATTTTCACTCTTTACCTCCTGACTGCCTTCTCCCTGCTGTGAATCTGGGTTTGCAATGTCTCGTTTCACTGGTGTTGTCGCTCCACCACAATCCATCACTTCATGCTTAACACCCACTTTCGTCTTTTCTTTTTCCAACATACTCTTGAACTCAGCATTTTCACCGAGTATAGTCCGAGATGTAGATGCTGAAGTTTTACTACTGTCTGATTTTGATGAACTAACATCCTCTTCTTTTTCATCTTTCTTCTTTCGAATTTTCAAGATCTTTGCCTCAAACCACGCCCCAATGGTGACATCTCTAGCATCGATGACATCTCCAAGCTGCCAATAAATAAAAATATCACAATACAAAAAAAAAAAGAGATTAAAGCTATATATGCTGTAAATGGTCATATTTATTGTCAACACTATTAATTATAGCATCTTTCCCCATGTGAAAAATCACGGTTTGGGCAGCTGGAGCCCAATTGAGACAAACTGCATCATAATATTTTCATCAACATTCTCGTACAATATTACCAAATTTGAAAATATCTTAACTCTTTCAACACCAGTCAACCAGAGGCATTTATTGCCATGACACCGAGTTTCCAGAGACTCCAAGGTCATAAATGGAGCCTATGTTTATGAAGGAAATTATAAGCTTGTAAAACGTTGATAAATATGACATCTCATACACCATTTAAAAGATCTAAGCTTGTCAAACGTTGATAAATATGAAATTTATTTTTATAATACAATTCAAATAATACAACTACAACTTAAATAAATTTATTTTTTAATGAAAATGCAAGTTTACATTTATAATGTCCAGATAAACCACGAAAGAAGCAAACACTATGGCGATTTTTTTCCATTTGTGACATGTCATAACATGCCCGTGACATTTTCTTTTATATTTTCATTTTTACGTAATCAGAGAATTATTATAAAAAGATTTCTTAAATAATATGTATGGTCGCCTATTTCCTGACATCAGTGGCTTTTCGCTCGGTAACATGACACAACAACGGAAAATACCTCCGTTTTTGAAGCTTCATTTGAATATCATGCGAGGCGAATCGTTTGATGTTGGGCATCGTTCGAAAGCTCTGAACATCAACAATATCACTGTACCCTTGCCGAGAGTATTTTCACACTTGTAAGAAGCGATTTTATTGGATAAAGATTGGTTTCTAATGACGCTTTTTCGCCACCGTCTGCTATAAGGGTCGTGATTGGTCAAAATCAGACACGTGACCTAAGGCAGCCAATCATATTACGGCAATGGATACCGTCCTCGTAAACGAAACCTTTAGATTTAGACGAAAGTTTTGGGTAAAATAATGCTATTCTGAACATATTAAGCAAGACATCGCTACCTATATGTAAATTATGGGATTTATTTGACGTATTGTGCTAGGTTATGACCTGTGACAAAAATGCTTCATGCAAATATTTTTGCATTAAACATCGTGTCCGAGCGTGAAGATTGAGGCGGCGAGAGCCGAGATGTCACTTGTCAGTGACTTGACTTGCATTACATGATCGCACAAAAAGATGGAAATAGTAATTTTATATGTACGTTTGACAACTTTTATGAATGCTGTTGTTGATTTTATTCATTAGTTTATTCAATTTATTTAATGATTATCTCGAAACATCGTTACTTTGCTCTTTGACAATGTTATTGTGGACCCGCTGCCGAAGCATGTGTCCGAGAATCGTTGCTTTAAATCACATTGCGAAAAATAGTTTATAATTTTAATTCTGCCGATAATATATGATCAATTGAAATTTAATAAGTGTTTTCAGACATTGTGAAATGTGATGGATTTAATATATGAATCATAAGTCAGGTAAGTTCCTAAAATTTTGACGTGACTACTGCCTGGCCGATTAATCGGCCTCCGGTCTCTGGGGACTCATAACGTTGTGGCCGCTTAAGCGGCCTGCGGTGTTGAATGGGTTAAGAAGGATATTTTGGCAACAATCTGTCAATGTCAAAGAGGTGCATGTGTGTTGATGCGCATGATTGATATCATGTGTACTGATCTAGTAATTCGGTACGTGGATTGTATGGTTTGACATTTAAAGACACACTCTGCAATTTTCCAGCTATATGACGACAGTCTGTAAATTGAGTCTGGACCAGTCAATCCAGTGATCAACATCATGAACATCTATCTTTGTAACTGGGATATGATAATAATTAGGAACAATGCCATTAACCAAGTTACCAGGCCCAGCAAATTGACCCGCACATATGTTGCTGAGGCCTTGAACTGAACTGAACTCATTAATACTTGTCACATGAATCCAAGGTCACTCCTCGGTCACATGACACACTTCAGTCTTAAAGATGTGGTCAAATTAATATTTCTAACCAAGAACGGCAAATAATAAAGGCGATTTTCTCAGATTTCTAGGCAATATTAGAGACACTGTTGTACAATTACAATCAAAACATCAAATGACGCCATGAGTAAACTGTAGATGCTGTGTGTAGTTATGGTTGCTAGCCAGCTGGTGGCCTGGTAACATGACATTTGATTATTCACCAGAGCACAGAGTCAATTACATGTCTCCGTGACAACCATCCTTGTAGAGCCTGGGTGTGCTCACCTTATACAAACTGTCAGAGCAGTCCTCATCTTCTGTCTCACAGCTACCGGAGGCAGTCTCTGGCTTTGGAGATGGAGGCTGAAGAGACACAATTGCAGCTTAGTGTTCATTCGCACAGACAAGGAAACAGCATTATCACTTTTTGTTAATAAGAATATTGTGTAGCAAAAGATATAATTCCAGGGGAAAATCTACCTTCTGGTTTTCCTTATCTGAGCTGTTTCCATCCTCTCCTGCACTGGAGTAGCCAGAGCTCTTGTCTCCAGAATCTGATGCAGCTTTACACCCTGGTGTAACGAGCAACTGGATCAAGTCATTCACATTGACGCCATAGTCAAACAGTGTATGGGCGTCGACAAGCTGAAACAACAAAATGTAAGCAGTTAGAAAACTGGCACTTAAAGAAACCTTAAAGGTCACATGCAACCAAAAAATCAAACATAATTAAAACAAAATTATCACTTATTCATGACATATAATATACATTGCTGGTTATGAAAAAACATATAAACAAAATTATAAGCGTACAATCGCAAATCAAAAGTGCAATATTGTGTACTTGGGTTTACTTCCCAAGAAACGAAGCAGCCGGGATACCGAACCCAGTCAGAGCGGGTGGGTGTGCACTCAAGTGTAACGGCTGGTTCATTTGCAGATGCCCTCACGGCTCATTGTGTGTGTATATATATAGAGATGTTGGGTTTTGTAAATACATGCTCATTTTTTGTGTATAACATTTTGCAATCAACAGACATCATAACATGTCATGTGTTCAAGTATCACACCTGCCTGTCTGTGTAATTACATAATGTGACAGAGACCGAACACGGGCCATAAATCAATGCGTTTTGTTTATGGTGTATAGCCTGATAGGTGTTAAGTTCAAATTGCATGTTGTCAGTGATCGAAGTTGTGTATTGAATATTGTCATTAGCAAACAGGCAGGCAGACACACAGGTGTCAATAAAATAAGACATTGAGTTTTGTCTGTGACAACGACATATCTATATCACAGTTAGAAATTCTGTCAACGCTAAATAATGAAATTGCTTTTAAGTATCGAACTGACAAAGTGACTCGGTAAGAAGAACGTGTGGTGAAATAGACAAATGAAATTATATAAACAGTTTATTTACTGTCATAACATATAAAAAAGCTCGCGCCTGTGAGATATCAACAAAACATTAGGAAAATAGCTCACACCAAAGCCTTCACCGAGTATTCACCGGACAGCCCGCTTCCAAGTTGCGCTAACATATTTCACTGCGCACGTGCTATGAGCGCAGCCCAGCTGTTGAAACCGGTTTTCCCCCGAAAAGTCAGGACAATTAGTGAATCGTTTGAACTCCCATTTTGCGCGGGTTTTTTTCATCGCGTTATTTTTCAACTTTATAAGTTGAATTTGCATTTTTGATGATTTGTTTCGGTAAGTCCATACCGAAAAGGTATCAGAATCTGCAAAGTTGTGTTTTACGTTGCATGTGACCTTTAAAATAGTGGCACCATACAGTAACGTAACTCACACTGTCTCATCATAGCTCATTGTCAGGGCTCGATTTAAGAGATGTTAACCCACTTGCACTAGGTGCAACCTAAGATAAAAACCTAGTTGCACCAGTCAAATTCCAGTTGCACTGTTTTTATTGCAATATGTAACATCAGAAATATGCTACTGAATTATTTAGATGTTTTATTCAGAAGCTTACCCACTCAAAAATTGACTTGCACCTGGTGCAAGTTAGAGTAATAACTAGGTTGCACTTTGTAATATTGGGTTCCACCAGTGCAAGTAACAAAGCACTAAATCGAGCCATGATTGTGATCAGTCAAAAGTTTCAAAAGTCAGTAAAGGATGGTTATGAAAGTGTAAATCGTCCATCGCTAGATCACATTTAAAAGCATTTGCTGCAGTTCAATCCATTATGGCGGCCATATAATTCCTGTGCTCTTTTACATATCAGAGATAAAACAAATACCATTTTTGAGTGCACCACCCTCATTGAAATTGAAAATTGTAAATAACGTCCATTGAAAACATCATCAAGGGCCATTATTTCACAAATTAAACACATACACTGCAATAAAATAAACAAACTAATTATTCTCAGGGGTCTCAGATAAAATCCAAAATTATCCCTATGTTTTTGCATTTCCCAGTTTTCTGAGTGCTCTCAAGACAGGGTTGACTTTTTCTAACTGTAACTATGTCACTAGCACCGTGAGCCCAGAACTACTACATAGATAAGGACTGACGGAGTTTGCGGGAGACACCAGAAATGGGCTTCACACATTGTACCCATGTGGGGATTCAAACCCGGGTCTTCGGCGTGACGAGCCAACGCTTTAACCACTAGGCTACCCCACCGCCCCATATAGATAAGGAAGTCGTCAAGAATTGAGGTGTTCTCAATCTGCATGGTCTGAGTCCAAGTGAACCCTGTAAAATAAGACCCGCCTGACTGACCGAACGATACAGGATAGATTCCTGACAGACGGTCTAAATTTACAGCTAGCCAGCCTGATGGTCTGGTAAAACATCCGAGTAAATTCACCATATCTTAAATTCTAATTATTCATTGTAACTAAAAATTTATATATTTTCTTTGGATTGTCTGGTCTGGTTAAATCCAATTTGGGCTGGTAACATTTTGAAGTTATCAGCTCTGATTTCTGGTTGGGTTTTGGGCTCATTTCAAACACTGAAGTGAATGGGTCATGCTGAAAACAGTGGTGGAGTTCCATTGTGTGGAACTGATGCAGTAAACTGGTCTACCGTGTCCTAAGTGGTCATATCCTGATCAACCGCCAGGGATAAGTAGGCTTACTGATGGGGTACATAACAGGTTCTTCAGGAAGAAATGATTGAGGATTTTATTTGGCGAGAAAACTTTCCAAAGTTGGTTAACTGTGATGATGTTGACGACGTTTAACCTCAGGCTGTCAGTATCGAAAGAACACATTTTCAAATTGACCTGAGGTCATGACTCTCCAAAGGGCAGTGTGACCTGAAACTCGAGGCCTGATGCGCTTGATTCTTTCCACATTTTTCACATATGCACATAAACATACAATATATCAGATCAAATGGCAATACACTTTCATAACGTAATCTTACACATCTTATATACGAACACAATCTCGACAATTGTAATGACCAAACTATAGTTTCCAAAACAAGGTTGGCAATACTCATTTTGCATAAGCGCAATGCCAATAAAAGTAGATCAACAGTTGTTTTGTAAAGAAAACAAATACGGGGGTTAAAATGTGAACCAAAAATGATCAACCTGTTTTCCTCGAAAAAAAAGACGCTGTGTTTCCACGGGGGCTTCGAATGGATCCACTAATTTTTGGCGCAACTCCTCTATTTTCGTCAGTTTTGATAAGTCATCCACGCGAACAGTCTTCTTTCCATCTATGCTTCGGACCTGGATCCACATCGTGGCTTGTCTTTTCAGATTTAACCACTTGTGCTATTACTTAGCCCGAGCACACAATGTTGACAAACCCTGTTCTGCTTCACATGGAATACTGGCGGGAAAATCTGTCACATGGTACAACAATGTCCTATTTATAGATATTCATTGAAAAGGTGGAATGGTAACACCGAAATTGGAATGTGTATATATTCCGCCATTGGTCACGATAACTTGATTGTTATGGTGCCGCAGTTTAGTTCTATCAGCTTTAGAGAATACAGAACGAGTCATTAATCTAATAAGTCGACTTTGAATGTTTTTCTTGAAAGGAGAAGTGGCTGTAAAATACCAGAGTTAAGTCGTCCAACTAACTTGTCAGACCTTATATCATTAAAAAATCATTCCTGCTAGACAACGGTACAAGAATTTGTATCGAAACGTCGCACTCTCGTAATAAAGAAGTTGTTAGCCATAAAGTTTGTCAATTTTGTACTTCCCAGCTTCTAAAATGCCACTCAAAGAAGAAAATGCCACTCAAAGAACTTATATCATTACTTAAGAGACCGGCGAACGGAAACTTTCACTGCGTTCCTTGTTTTAGGTTTTATTACTGAGGATACACTGGCCTCAATACACAGCGACAGCAATTCGTAACATTTGTATTGTTGCAGATGTTGTCATTACAATAAGTGTCTTAATATTTCAGAGGTAAACGTGTCAATATTAAGGATGATGACAATTTTTTATGGATATACGACTTCTGTTATTCTGTGAATAGAAAGGCGACGTTTCGACATAGATTCTAATGTCGTTGTCAAGCAAGTGATACATGAGAAACAAATTGAGAGAATATATACATGAGTTGTTATTACAATAGATTGGGGATGAGTTGTTTATACAATAAATGAGGTAGATGTACAACGCTTGTATAGGAGATTGAGTAAGTTGATTGGAAGCCAGTTAGGTGACGTACAAGGACTGAAAGAGATTATACAAATGATAGGAAGCCAGATGAATGTTTATACAAGAGATTGGATCGATGTACACAGCTGTATGACAAAATTAATGTCTCGAAAATAATATCTTGTCATTGTACGTCTGATCAAAATTACAGAAGATCAGCAAGCGGCGTGTCTTGTAAACATTTCTATTCCAAATTCAGATAAGTTAACGCCCTTCATTTACATTATTTTTTGGTACGGTGGTTTATTCCTTATTATAAACATATTTATTATATTAGCTCCCACCTATACCCCGTCGGCGACATTGGCTACATCACCATCGTCTTGTTGAGAAGGGCAGGAGGAGCTGGATGTAGTAATGTCAGCCATGAATCCCATCACCTCTCTAGTCCATTAATGTCAGGTATGTTTTGTATTTCCGAATTATCTGATCTTTGTTTTTGGATAGTTTACAAATGAAGGAAGTCTGTATCTGTGGTAACCTAAGGCCTGAGGTCCATGTCAGATATTTTACGTTGGACTCAGGTGGGTGTTGAATATGACTGGTTCAAATATCTTCTGATATTTGGTTTGTATCTCGTGCAAACACGACACTTACATGGTGTTTGTTTGTTGTTAAACGTCACACCGAGTTCACATGCATTATTCCTCGACACTTAAGGCTCCTTCATTCTTATTTCGAATTGACAGGAATCAAGGAGAATCAGTCAGAAAAATAGATATTTCCAAAATTCGAACCGCATTCGGGAGAGAATGTCAAAATAAACAATTTTTCAAGCTTTGTAAGAAAGCTGTTGGAATACTTAGAACGCACTTCGAACCCGCCTCGAATTATTCTTACTCATTCCAAATGTACTAGATCACGAATGCAGCCCGAATGAATCGGAATACAGAAGGAATAATTATTATTCCTCGCCATTAGGGAACCACCAAATACCGCGATCATGATCAATGAACGCGGCTTGCGACAAGTGTTTTATTACCGATACAGTGAAAACTAGCAACTCCGGCTATGAAGGAAAACCAAGTTCTATGGATAGTGCGACGTTTCGGTGTAGGTACTAACACCGTTATCAAGCATTCATACAAATTGACAGCTCATCACTTGCTTGATAACGGTGTTAGTACCTATACCGAAACGTCGCACTCATTGCAATAAAGAAGTACTATCCATAGAACTTGGTTTTCCTTCATCCATACAACTTCTAAAATGCCTCTCAAAGAAGTCACTCCGGCTATACTTAGCAGTGTTTTCGTATCAAACTTGGGCAACAGAACTTTGTATACTAAATTTCTGCATCTTATCCCATTAAGTTAGTACACACCCTTGAACTGTGCAAACAAACCCCACCCCCACCCCACCCCCACCCCCACCTTCTCAAAAGCTGTATCCGCTCCTGATGCGCACTATATACCTTCTTATTTCGGACCCGTGAAGGTCCGGGTTAGAATATTGGCCTTCAGTAACCCGTGCTTGTCGTAAGAGGCGACTAACAGGGTCGGGGGTCGTCAGGCTCGCTGACTTGGTTGACACATGTCATCGGTTCCCAATTGCGCAGATCGATGATCATGCTGTTGATCACTGGATTGTCTGGTCAAGACTCAATTATTTACAGACCGCCGCCATATAGCTGGAATATTGCTGAGTGCACGTGGCGTAAAACTAAACTAATTGTTTGATGGGCATTCTAGAAGTTGGTGACTCAAAAATGTAACATACAACTTTATGAAAAGCTTGACAACGATGTAAGAATCTACATCGAAACGTCACTTCATGCAATCAATAAGAAGTTGTCATCCATAAAGTTGTATGTTTCGTTTTAAAACTAAACTCACTCACTCGTATTTCGTGTTTCCAAAGTGTCGAGGACTGTTTTCATTGCTACATTAGTTACATAAAGCGAACGTAAAATCTAAAGTGTAGTCTGATTCGAATGAGACATAGGTTATCGTAATGTGAGTATAGTTAGGTCACTTAGGTGCATGCTCAAAGATAATAAGTCAAGCCTGTTTTCACAGGACCTTTCAGAAAAAAGGTATGGGTTAACCAAATGGCATAGGGGTCGGTAGAGTAGCCGAATAGTTAAAGCGTCCGCTCGTCGAACCGGGCAAGATTCTCCGGTTTGTCTGTACCATAGCAACGATTTGGTTTCACTCAGGTGGTGAACTTCCGAGACTTGCATCATCGGGGAATTTGCTCCCAACATTTTGTCGGGGTTGAACCAAGTTCACTCGCATTGTCTGTTGACGTGGACTGAGCTCCATTACTTATTTAAGGACGGTGGTGTAGCCTAATGGTTAAAGCGTCCGCTCGTCACGCTGAAGACCCGGGTTCGATTCCCCACATGAGTACAATGTGTGAAGCCCATTTCTGGTGTCCCCGCCGTGATATTGCTGGAATATTGCTAAAAGAGGCGTAAAACCATACTCACTCACTTATAACATAAGATCACAATATATCCCGATGTATAACAGTAAATGGCCGAATAAAGCAAAATTTAAACTACTGTTTACCTTAGAGGATTATTCACTTGTTAAGAATATTCCAAGATTTATAAGAATTATCAATAACACTATAAAAAGATGAACACACTAATATATTCACTGTTACCAAGTGATAAATGTATCATTTATGTTATAACTTTATTTGTATTGTTCCTGTACCACCAATGGTGGTTTGTCGGAATAAAAGATTGATTGATTGATTGGTAAGTCCTGGCGTTGATTGGTAAGTCCATTCAGACTCAGGTCGTAGTCGTCGTCGTCTACCGCGTTGGTGAAACCCATAAAGACACTGGATCACCAATGATTTGAACTCACGATTCGCGGATCCTGACATGCGACGAAGGTACACAACCCGGCACAGCGATGTGTGTTACTATTTCCATAGACGTATATTAAACATTTGTGAAAAGTTTGGGACGAAAGACGTGTACATATACACTGTACGTGTGGTATAAATAGCCGATGTTTGACGGTACGGATGATAACCATGTCATAAATACATATTTACAATAGTGAGATGTCCACATACACTTCAGACATACGAATTTCCGGCATAAAGTTGGGGCCATTAAAACATCTTCGTCTATGAATTAGGTGAATTATCTATGTCCATGCCCCTTTCATGATTTTAACGCGGCGCAATTCGATAATGAGTCATAGGTTATCATGATGTGAGTAGCTAGGTGCATGCACAAAAATATATGTCAAAAAAGGTTTTCTTAAGACCTTTCTGAAAGAAAAGTAAGGGTAATCAAAATGACATAGGGGGCGGTAGGGTAGCCGAATGGTTTAAGCATCCGCTCGTCACGAAGTCCCAGCTTCGATTTCCCACGTGGGTACAATATACGGGGAATATTGCTAAAACCGGCTTAAAACCATACACACTCACTCACTCAATATGGCACACGACTATATTTCGTTTCAAAATACTACTTTTATACTAAACCCATTACGCGCCTAAAGGGGATACAACTCCGTCGATCGAAATCATTCTGGTTTCACAAATCCAGAATAGGTTCATGGTGCTACAGCGTGATTGGCAGGTGAAAACATCGTCAGACAAGCACCGGCATCTGTGACCCCGATCCTCACTTACATCGCTGGTCTGTTGTACGGGGTGCCGGGAAGAAGCAGACATGGATTTGCCCCTAAACTTTATCATGTATTTGGCAGTTCCTGCCTTGCTTTCGTTGTCTTGGGTGAAATACAGAGGGCTAGAATATATTTTAATTCACTATCGATGGGTGTTCGTTTGTCTGTTTCTCTTGCCCGTCTCTGTGATCTACGATATTTTTATGTACCTGAGGAATTGGCTCGTCTTCCAGTTAAACTCAGCACCGAAGAAGCACGATCAAAAGGTTCAGCACGTGCAGAGACAGGTATGTACTGTTTGCACGTGCATGCGTGCAATTAACATCTTACTACTTCAATGACATTCATGCTTTGTGGTGTTGCTTGTCGCCGGTACTAGTCCTGTCAATAGCTAGCGCTGTCAAGTTTGACATTCGATCCGTGTTGCATGGTTGGAAATGTTAAACATAATCAGAGACCATATACCGATATATGGTCTCTGACATAATCGATGACTGGTTTGTTATTTTTTATTACACAATTTTTAACGTACCGTACATATTTTCCCGTTAAGGGCGTAGGACTGACTATATACCGTTTTAAATTTACAGCGCATACAGTTGATTGGCATCCGTTAGTCGGCCACAGCTTGTTCAACAGCAGGCGAGTTATAGACGCATACCTATGCCCAACTGTGTTTTATGTAGTTATTTTGTATGTACAGGCTCCGTGGTTGGTAATTATAAAAAAGTGTGAATATGCAATTTCAGTGGCAATAAGACTATGGGAAGCGTATTATCATCTGAAGTCCAATTTTGTTCAGTTATTTTCCACTGGCTTATATAAATGGCAATGGAAATTCTGCAGGCCGTATTTCAGTTAATATTATTGATGAAATCTATTGGAGATATGGTTATGGATTCAATTTCAGTGGCCTTAGATGGCATATTCAATAAATGAATATTTTGTTATTCAATAATATAAATTTATTGATACAATGTTAAAAAAATTACTCAATATGTTTTTTGAATATCATCACAGTGTGGCCTGGCAGATTTCTGAAAATAGCAGACACTGTTTTAATTTATAGTTGGCGCCAGATATTATATCTTTACTTAGATTTTTCCTGAAAACAGGAATTTTTAAAATTTTTATACTGGAGCAGCAGTGACAGCTCTTCGGTACAGAGGGGGGTGGGGGGAGGGGGGAGATGGGCTACAGGTTTAATTACTGGCAGCTAGCCACAGATGTTCATTATTATGCCAAACATAAAACTGAGCTATTCTTTACATAAACAGACATATTGGTTGCTAGGAATTCTCACCAACAACTCCGTCACTGTGCTGTCTATTATTAGACCTTTCTTGCATACAGAACATGTAAACACTACAGACTGATATATTTGCCACCACTCCACATTTCACCTCCAGCTTGGCACATCACTGTGTTTCACCCCTATCTAGATCATGTAGACATTGAACTGTGGTGTACCTGCTGTGATGTACCTGCTGAGCAACAGTTGCAGCTGTAAATCTCACATACTGTATTTGATTTTGTCAACACCCACTTAGTTTAGTAAATTGACAAAGGGGGTGGGGGGGAGGCAACACATGTTATATTTGAGATTACACTTTCACAGTTGAGGTGTATATAAAAACGATATTGATTAATTTTGTCAGATAAAACAGTAGAAAACAAAGTTCAATCAATATTGAAACTAAAATAATTTCGAGAATAGTTACTAGGCAGTTATTATGACCCGAAACTGCTGTTTTCTGTTAAAAAAATACCTGGAAATATGGACTGCAACTTTTTTAAGTTAACAGGGAGCCAAATGAGGGGGAAAAAATAAATATTGAGTCACAAAATGTTTTTATATATTTATTTTTAATCTACCTTAGCTAACAGAGTTGAAGAATATGGTAGACCATAGAATACTGATATTGAGCTGAGGAAATCTATACTTGCTCTGACAATACCTTAAAGATTACATCATCTGTCCAGGTGTAAATTTGGTGTCCTCCCATTTGTGAGAACTCCCAGTTGTGAGACACATTAATTAATGGTTCAGTGCACATAGGTGGTGTTTCCACATCCCTACAATGAAAGTGAGATCAGCCCAGCCCAGTACCCACAGGAGGCATAGTCCATTGATGAGTTGACTAATGAAATAGATTTTCAAAGATTATATTTACACAGAAGAAATAGTTCTATAAATATTTTATTGATTCAGAAGAATAACACATATTTATTGACTATTATGAAGTTTGAAAGTAATTTTAGTTTGAACATATTTTATTATTATTTATGAAAATGAATTGGGATTGGTGAAGTATTACTGCTTATGTTAACACCGCTCCCATGCAACATAAAATATAAAACGAAATGGAGGATGTGACGTCATCGATATTGACTATTGCATAAATATATTTTTAAATACATATAAATATATACAGATTACATCAAATGCAACTATTCTCTAAGTAGTCATAATTAGAGACTTACAGCTGTGTGTGTCTAACAAGCTATTTTAGGAATATAAATCAATCACGAGAAGTTGTTGAGTTAATTTAAGCATTTCCCTGAGTAAATTTGAAGCCCTGTGTCTTGATGATATAATCGTGGACGGATTCAAATATATTCTGTTTTACACAAGGACTAAATTCTTTGTTTCCGTTCAAAATATTATCCAGGTTATAAAGGGTAGTTGATATCCACAAGAGCAACATGCACTGTCTATTAAATGTCTGTTATACATATCGGCGATTGGGTCGCTAGATCCGAGCCTGAGGCGGCAGTGAACGATTTGACAATAACAAGAGCCATAATTAAGATCAATATAAATCTTTTTTCGTTTTTTGTAATTAGGTTTTAAAATTCTTTGAGACTGCATGACTCTTTGGAATTTGGCAGGGCATTCTATAAATTTATTGTGTCGGGTAAAAGGGTTTGGCATGAGAGGCAGTTTGACTGGAAATTTCTTGTGTTTCAGAGTTATTTGTTAAACTATAGCTTGTAGTTTCGGAGACGGAGTAAATCTGAGTAGGTAAATTAATTTCTCTTTGATCACAAAGTTACCTACACAAAGTGTTTAATTATTAAAGACATTTACATGAGTATGTTAATCAATTTATCTTATAAAGTTTCATTAAGTAACCTCCACAAGATTCAGTTACATAGCAAATCAGTTAGTAGCTAGGGTGAATCCATTCTATCAGACAGGGGAGTATGGTGTGTTTTCGTTGTTAATTACCTTCTCCACTGTCTCATAACTGGGAGTCTCACAACTGGGAGTTCTCACAAATGGGAGTAGACCGTATATTTCAACGCTCTGCGAGGCAATGCAGATTGCATAATGATGGGAGGGGGGGATGATCCTTTGATCGTTGATCAAATATAACAATCACATGAACAGTTGCCTTATTATTCCTGCAGTTATTCCCAGGACACGGTGTGTTAACTGAGGAATACCACCAGCTGCAGTTTGCCTGTAGATCCCTGTGTATATGTTTGTATTTATACAATGTTGCTAAGTTGCAACATGCTTGCAGAATGTTCTTCTGGAATATTTTGCTTGTAAAATATATGTTTATTATGTTTCAAATATACAAGCACTTTGTTTCACTCAGAGAGATAAGTAAAGACTTTGCTATCAGTGAAGAGTGTCTGTTACATTATTTACACCCATGACTGTATTTTGTATGTGAGAACATTTACATTGACCTACTAGTTTTATGTCCTAAATTGTGGATGCTGACGGAACGAGTGTAAAACATCTCATATCTGTGTATATACATGCAAATTGAATTTTATTTTTGATATTAAATGTTCCTGTATCTATTACAGGTGCATGTTCAGACCCTGATGTTTAACTCATCTGACTGAAAGTCGAGCGAGCTTATGTCATAGCATGTTGCTTATGCAAAGAACTTCTCAGAAACTACAAGACCAATGAAGCTGAAATTCCAGTTTGTTCAAAATGTTCGAATCCTATTTTCAAGATGTCTTTTGTGTCAGTCATAATTGTAAAAACCTATTTATAGCCATTACCTATAATTGTAATCAATATGACCCAAGTGGCGACATGTAAGATATGACCTGAGTGGTCACATGTAAGGTATGACCTGGGCGGTGACATGTAAGATATGACCTGAGTGGTGACATGTAAGATATGACCCAAGTGGCGACATGTAAGTTATGATCTGAGTGGTGACATGTATGGTATGACCTGAGTGGTGACATGTAAGATATGACCTGAGTGGTCACATGTAAGGTATGACCCAGATGGTCACATGTAAGGTATGACCTGGACGGTGACATGTAAGATATGACCTGAGTGGTGACATGTAAGGTATGACCTGGGTGGTGACATGTAAGATATGACTCAGGTGGTGACATGTAAGGTATGACCTGGGCGGTGACATGTAAGATATGACCTGAGTGGTGACATGTAAGGTATGACCTGGGTGGTGACATGTAAGGTATGACCTGAGTGGCGACATGTAAGTTATGATCTGAGTGGTGACATGTATGGTATGACCTGAGTGGTGACATGTAAGATATGACCTGAGTGGTCACATGTAAGGTATGACCCAGATGGTCACATGTAAGGTATGACCTGGACGGTGACATGTAAGATATGACCTGAGTGGTGACATGTAAGGTATGACCTGAGTGGTGACATGTAAGATATGACCCAAGTGGCGACATGTAAGATATGACCTGAGTGGTGACATGTATGGTATGACCTGAGTGGTGACATGTAAGGTATGACCTGAGTGGTGACATGTAAGGTATGACTCTGGTGGTGACATGTAAGGTATGACCTGAGTGGTGACATGTAAGGTATGACCTGGGTGGTGACATGTAAGGTATGACCTGAGTGGTGACATGTATGGTATGACCTGAGTGGTGACATGTAAGGTATGACCTGAGTGGTGACATGTATGGTATGACTCTGGTGGTGACATGTAAGGTATGACCTGAGTGGTGACATGTAAGGTATGACCTGGGTGGTGACATGTAAGGTATGACCCGGGTGGTGACATGTAAGGTATGACCTGAGTGGTGACATGTATGGTATGACCTGAGTGGTGACAAGTATGGTATGACCTGAGTGGTGACATGTAAGGTATGACTCAGGTGGTGACATGTAAGGTATGACCTAGGCGGTGACATGTATGGTATGACCTGAGTGGTGATGTATAAGGTATCACTCAGGTGGTGACGTGTAAGATATGACCTGAGTGGTGACATGTATGGTATGACCTGAGTGGTGACATGTATGGTATGACTCTGGTGGTGACAT